TATCTGGACATTATCTGCAACAGCAGGTTGAATTAAAGACCCGTCCGGTCCTTATGGCCCCCAGAACCAACAGGGTCCCCCCTGGGTCCAGGTCTGGGTCCAGGTCTGGGTCCAGGTCTGGGTCCAGGTCTGGTTAAAGTCACTTTCTATCAAACTATTTCCCGTTTCTTTTTTTATCCCAATCAGCCACTTCTTATTCAACAGGGACATTATTACAATGTGTGTGTGTGTGTGTGTGTGTGTGTGTGTGTGTGTGTGTGTGTGTGTGTGGTGAGAGAGAGAGAGAGAGACCTGTGTTGAAAGCACAGTTAATGGTTATTGTGTCAGCTCTTTTGTGAGGTGTGTGCATTTACCAGCTGAGCGATGACTCGCAGCTACAGGAATGTGCACACACACACACACACACACACACACACACACACACACACACACACACACACACTCTTTACTATTTAAACTGAATGAATTGAACGTGTCTGATCATCATTATATATATAGATTATCATTATCATTACAGATATTAATATTCATTTATTTAATATTTATTCCAAGCTTCAGTAAACTACAGTGTGCATATAATATTGGACAAATGATTATCAAAACTAATCAATAACACAGTCACTAATTAATTACAGGTTAAAGAATTAGTTATTTTATTAAATATATTTTTACGCCTTTTTGCCTTTATTGTTCCAGGGACGGTAGAGAGAGGATGACACGCAGGAAATGGCGCCACAGTCACATCATGTGAAACCCCGCCCCTTCTCTGACCAAGACAATCAACCAGCCAATCAGAGGCAGAGTAGGGCAGTGAACATGTTTCAAACACATCAGCATTTAAAGTACAATAACTGTATTTTATGTTTATTTAGTGGGGACAGTGCATGAAACAAGTATTGTACCAGATATCGCTAAAAGCTATTTCCGTCTATAGTCTCTGGGTGGAGGTCACATAGTGCGCAGGTTACAAAGATAAAAGATCAGTTGTGAATTAAAATCTTACAGACCGAATGAAAAACTAAGAAGCAAAACCCGAAAAAAGAATCACCCCAAAACAAACAACTACCACTAGGGGGCACAACAACAACAATCCCAACACAGAGACCAACAATTCATCAGTGCAAAGAATCACCAAACAAACACTCTACAGACCTGATTGTCCTTCATGTTTTCACACTACATGTAAAATCTTTACTGCACTCTCTGAAACACAACAGTCCCCTCTGGAGGAAGCTCCAACCTTGAGGATCTACACGTCGTTACAAACCCATAAATCAGTGACTCCTTTCATAAAACTAAAGAACATTTAGGAACAAAAGCTCTTAATTACAGTGCTGACAGCAGCTGGACAGAAAACCAACATGGTTTGTCTCTGAGCTTATCACGTCCATTCATCACATCGCTCACTTTCCCAACTCTCTGATCCCAGATCGCTGCTCCATGAGGGACCGAACACACACATTGTCGAACAGACACCGTTTCCTGTCAGGTTTCTTTCTACGAGTGTTTCAAGCTGATGGAGGTGAACAAGCTGAGAGTGGTAAACACGTATATTGATCTGTAATACAGTCTCCTTTACCTGCATTTCAAATTTTTTTTATAATCGTCGTTCAGCTGGAAGAACATGAGAGACAGCAACCCGGTATCACGCCAAAGCTTGTACAACAGACGCCGACAAAACTGAATAAATGATACAAGATTGCACATTAAATTAAAGCTAAAAACTGTATTTTATTATTATTTATTTATAGAAAAATATTTAGTATTTTTAGGAGACAGTTATTTTACTGTATTTTTTGGTGCTCCAGTTGCTGGATTAGCTACAGATTTTGTATTGTTGTGTATGTGTGTAAAGTTCAGAACATGAAGATCAGTTTGTTGTTGAGTTTCAGTTGTGAAATTGTGGAGATGAATGTGTCCAGAGAAAGTTTTGAGTCAGCAGCTGCAGATATTTTAACTTCATCAGGTCAGTGGGTCAAATAAAGAGAAGTCAGAAGTCTGAGTGGTTTTTATTTCGCTGCTGTTGCTGGTTTCATGTTCAGCTGCACAGTCTCAGAAACGAAACACAAAACAAAAGAAATCAACGATTATATTTCACCACACAGGTTGAGTTTGATTTCTTTATTTTAAGAACTGAGACTAAGATTATTTAATTATCTTGTCTCTTTAAAACAAAACCAATAACAGTTAAAAATAGAAATATTATTTAAACCTCTGTATTGTGACTTTAAATCATTGTTTGTGTCCTTTAGAGATACCTGATACTTTCTGGTGGATTATGTTATATTTGTATATTTGCATCTGTAGATTTACTCTTTTTGACTGATGCAACGTTTTGGGATAATATTGTAAAATATCAGCCCTGCGTAGTGACTGCAGGTGTTCCTTTCAGGTTGCATATATATCCCCAAAAACATTCACTAATAAGGTAAGCCAGCATGTAGCCTGAGAGGCTAAACTCAGGGCAAGCAAGTCTGCAAAGCACTCCCCCACTTTCTGTTCAGGTTCCTCTCCATCTCTGAAGGACAAAATGCTTCCTGTATTAACCCTGAACGTTGGCACTGGATGTTAATTGAGGGGATGCAGCGTCGTCCAATATGGCGTCTCAGGATAACGGTTGTCTGTCCTGAGGTCTGTTTTCAGTGTGTTGGAGTTTTATTTGTGTAGAGTTATATTCTGCTCTCTCTCTCTCAGAGTTAACTGAATAAGAAGTGAAAACGAGAACTGTTTGTCAAGGAATGAAAGGAGTTCCTGGGACAGATGGAGCCTTAAAGTTCTGAATCTAAATGATTTATGATGTGAAAATTGTTATAAAGACAAAATATGATCACATCTGAAAACTGAACTCTGGAGCCAAAACCAGCAGTTTGACCTGCGGGACTCAGCTCAGTCCGTCAGCACCTCAATCTGTGCTGCCCTAAACTCTGTTTCCATCACAGTGCATTGACTTACATTCATTCCCTGGAGATATATCCTCACATCAACCGTTAAAGTTAACGTTCTGGGTGTGAGTGTAGATTTATTCTCCACAAACGTCTTATGAACTCCTGCAGGGACACTGTACATTTATAATAATAAATCTGAAATTTGATACTGTTTTAGGAAGCAGGAAGTATGCTGGGGCTATGCTAGTGTGTCAGTAGATGGAACAGAAATATCTCTAGTTTCTTTATTTTAAATTCAAATAAATTGGATTTGTCACCGCAGACTACAACGTCTATGTCTATGTACCATTAATTATTGTTTCTTTTCTTTTTAATATTTAGTTGTTTATTTGTCTCCCGATTTGGTGAATTCTTTAGTTTGTTTGTGTAACATTTTATATATTTCTACCAACAATAGCTCCACAATAATACGAAGTTACAGAGGAGAGGACAAGTCTGAGATATGTACTGTCATTTGATTAATATAATAATAACAATCATTATATTATTAATATTAACTTTAGTCCAATAAGTTGACACTAATTGTCTTTCAGAGACAATTAATAAAAAGTAAATTTGACAATAATACCCAAGTTACAGAGGTTAATGCTGTAGATACGAGGCATAGGTCAGTGTTTTAAATACAGGGTACACGTCTGTGCTGTAGATAAAGGGTAGAGGTCAATGCTGTAGATACGAGGCATAGGTCAGTGTGCCAGTAGTGAAGTCCAATAATTTGTCATTATATGAAATTGTTAGCAGTCTTTATTTTGCTTAATATTATTTTTTATTCCTCCGTACATGTTCTTGACCGTTACCTCTTTCAGACCGATATCTAAGTAGCGTTGTTAGCAGCAGATGCAGCAGTCACATAATACTTTATAAATGTTATAGTTGTTACTAGATACCGAGAGATCCGGTCAGCGTGTCAGAAGATTTAAAATAATCAACAAAGACACTGCAGTCGGGGCCTTAGCAGGATTTTAGAAATGGTGAGGTAACGAGTTTGAGCTCCACTACAAAGAGGGTCCAGGAGAATGAGAGACGATAATATGAATCTGTGCATTTTAAGGCACATAATAATAATAATAATAATAATAATCACAATTAGAAAACATTATCAGTGTAAACACACAGAGATTCTACCCAGTGTGTAAGTATGGATGCAGCTACACTCGCCAACAATAAGTGTTGTACAACGGAATAAAAAGGGGCTGGAACATTTCACCTACAAAATTACAATTTTACTTATTTATTTGCAAAAAATGACACAATATAATTGATCAGTTAATTATCGTGCTCAATAACTGGACACACAACAATCTGCCTGTGCCTCATTTCCTGTCTGCACAGACTCTGATAGGAAGTTGCAGTAAAAGGAGTTCTTGTCATTTTAAAGTCGGCACATTGACCCAGAAGAGACCGACTTCTCTTCAACATGTGAGTCCATCAGTATGTATGAGAGTAGTATGAATGATACCTGCAGGAAGGAAGCTGCTGCAGTGCAGTTATTATAATGCATTAGATTACATTAACACAGTCTTCACCCGCCAGCAACCCATAATATCATATACAATTAGAATTATTCCTTTAATTGTGGTGAAAAGGAGGACATGTTAGATTATCTTTACTTCTGAAGTATGTATTTGTTGTCCTTACAGTTCATTCACTGTACAGTATATGTAGATGCTAAAAGCTAACGTAGCAGATCTTGCTAGGTATAAAGATCTTGTGTCACGTTAGACACATTCATTCTGAGTTATGTGTAAAAAACTAAAGAATAAACAGATTAAAATCTTAATGTTTAATGTTGTCGTCCTGTTTTTATTCATTACTGATGGTTCTAATTAACAGGAAGCATCAACAGTGACCTAGTTCCTCTTTAAATGACTTTCTGAACAATATGATGTCATTTAAATCTATTGTTATTAATCAGCACATTTCCTTCTTTCCCACAGTGGGATTCTGTCCCCTCGGGTTTATTTCTGTTATCTGATTTATTAAAGTAAAGTAAATCTTTTATTCTTCAGTCTCTACAGATACAATGTCCCCACACTGAGACTGAGCAGCTCTTACCTTTCTGTCCTCCACAGTGAGTTTCACTCTTTGTTTCTGCTGAGGTTCCTCCAGATGGTTCTACAGGTCTCGGGTCTCCTTCTTCCTCTGCCGCTGTGTTAGAGGTTCTGCTGGGTTCTACGGTTCCTCTGTCCGCCGGGTTGTCCTGTCTGATCTCAGTCCGTCTCCACTCGCTCCTCGTTGAGCTCTGGGAGTTCTGCTCCTTGTTTCCTGTTTGTTTTATTTTCTAACTGCAGCAGGAAATGGTCATCTTTTCCTCCCCCCCCCCACTGACCCCCAGCACACACACACACACAGAGACACACACACACACACACACAGACACACACACACACACACACACACACAGACCCTGGACTTAATGACGGCACCCCCTGGTGGAGACTTGTCCACCTGTCTCGTTAGCTAGCGGAGCTCACTGATTACTGTACAAACACAACTTCATCAGTGATTTAAACCGGATCAGATTTTATGGAGACAATATTTTGGTTTCCTCTCTGACGTCCACAAGCTAACTGCTAATGTAGCTGCTGTGAGCTTTAGCAACTGAACGGGGCTCAGCAGCCTCCCAGTGAACACAACCTCAGAGACAGACAGACAGACAACCTCAGAGACAGACAGACAGAGGACAGACAGACAGACAAACAGACAGACAGACAGACAGACAGAGGACAGACAGACAGACAGACAGACAGACAGACAGACAGAGGACAGACAGACAGAGGAAAAACAGACAGACAGACAGACAGACAAAGGACAGACAGACAGACAGACAGACAGAGGACAGACAGACAGACAGACAGACAGACAGACAGACAGACAGACAGACAGACAGACAGAGGACAGACAGACAGACAGACAGACAGAGGACAGTTTGACGACAGCGGTACCGAGGTGATTTATGGGAGTTTCCAGATGGACTTGTTGCTAAAAGAAGCTAACTGTCGCTAACCCGTCCCTATAAGAAGTTGCTATTGAATTTTGTGCCCCCTTTCGTCCAATCACCGCGACCTTTCCGCAAATGTAACCCATCGTTGTAGTTTCCCGTGAGTCCCCCTGTGTAAAACTACTACACATTGTATTCGAATTGGAACAAGTTGTCTTTGAGTTGTTGAAACTGTTTTCGAAACCTTCACTTTCCTTAAAACATCGCAACATGCATCCAATTTTTTAGAAAAGCTGCGATCAAATCAGAATTTTTTACGCTGCAACAATCCCAAAAAAAGCCTGTGAAATCCTGGAGGGACTGGTTAACGGTAATCTTGCCTGCTGTTAGCTAATTAGCTCGTGCAGCTAACTTAGCAGACTTAGCCCTGGGGTTGCAGGAACAGAACCCGGCAGTAAAACCACATCAGTCAAACTGACCTCTGTCAGCATCAGACGCTGCATTCAGTCCCGGTCTGGACCTGCTGTTCACTGGGAGCTCCCAGTCTGCTGGACTGGGAGGACGTAGCACACAGCGACCCTCCCTAACTGCCTGTTCTTCCAGAAAGAAAAGTGAGGTGAAAGTGTAAAAGACTAAAATGATTAATTGAATATTTCAAACTGAACTTTCACACAGACAGGAAACAGTCTGATTTGTTTTGTCTTCAGTCCAGCGAATGAAAACGTCCCGTTGGAGCTGCAGGTTTTATATGAGGGGAGGCCGTGTGACCCCAAAATCTGTCATCACATTTTAATGGAGGGAAATTGTTTCCAGGCAACACCCTGACAGACAGAGACTCTGATATAAAGCAGAAACCTTCAAGTGCTGCAGGAACCAGTTCAGCCTCTCAATGTAAAAAACCGAGACTGAAGTTTATTATTTCACTGGGAACTGAAACATTGAGCAACCGGAGCGCCCCCCCACTGCGGGACAACTTACCACGGTTGCTGAAGGTTGCGGAAGAGTTGCTGAAGGTTGCTGAAGGTTGCTGAAGAGTTGCTGAAGAGTTGCGAAGGTTGCTGAAGGTTTCTGAAGAGTTGCGAAGAGTTGCGAAAGTTGCGAAGGTTGCAAGAGTTGCTGAAGGTTGCTGAAGAGTTGCTGAAGGTTGCTGAAGGTTGCTGAAGAGTTGCTGAAGGTTGCTGAAGGTTGCTGAAGAGTTGCTGAAGGTTGCTGAAGAGTTGCTGAAGGTTGCTGAAGGTTGCTGAAGAGTTGCTGAAGGTTGCTGAAGGTTGCTGAAGAGTTGCTGAAGGTTGCTGAAGGTTGCTGAAGAGTTGCTGAGGAGTTGCTGAAGAGTTGCTGAAGGTTGCTGAAGAGTTGCTGAAGATTGGATGTTTGTTGGTTTTGTTTACAGCTATTTAATTAGAGAGTTAGCAGTTAGAGTTAACAACAACAACAACAACAACAACAACAATAATAATAAACTTAATTTTTACAGAATTATACAAAACAAAGAGGCGAGGAAATAAATACTAACAATAAAACTGCAAAATGAACAGAACTGAGATCAATAACTTTAAACGATTTAAATAATAGTTGATTTTTATCTTTTGTTCTGATGATTCAACAGGAGAGTTTCATATGTGGTGGAATACTAAGATAATAATCTGTCGCCCTCTGGTGGCACAAAGGTGAACTGCATGAGAGTGGTTTACAGAGCAGCAACAAAAAGACATTGTGAAACTATCATGTGAATAAATTGTGTGAAATATATAAATAAACCCAATATTTGTTTTTAGTAGTTTAGTTAATAACTACTTCAGATATTTCACTAAATATGGTTTCTTTTATATATTTTAGAAAATTCTTCTTGTAGTTATTCACTTCACATATATTCCTTTAGAGGTTTGATACACAAAATACAATGTTTGACCTCCACCCCATGAGAAACAGAGGATACACTATAAGTATGAGGTGTCCACATACTTTTGGCCTCTAACAATTTACAATAAGTGAAGTACTTAACATTTTAGAATAAATGTGATACAAATATAACAAATACTACAAATATGTAGTCACCAGTGGCTGTAGTATCTGGAAAGGGTTAAAAGATTAATGTAAATATAAATGTATAAAAATTAGGGTTGTGGAGTTGATAAGAGTCTTAAAAGGAAAAATAATGCAAATGTGTAATTATCTAAACTCACAGCATATTGACTCTTTGTAGCTATAAATATTTTGCTATAATTACGCATCCTGAACGCCCTCTACTGATGAAACCAGACTATTGCAATTGAATTTCACTGTTAAACTTTATAATGTGCTTTTTGCCCATCGGAGTGCCCAAGGGCTCTATTCCAGGTCCTCTTCAGCATTTGTTGGAGCTGATGTTCAAATGTAAGCAGATGATACAGGGCTATATCAATATATTCCTGAATATTACTTATATATATATTTAGTGAAATAGTTAAAGAAAACCTGATGCAGGTGTTAGAATTGTGAGCTCTGTTAGCTCTGACTACCAGCAGTCACACACTATAGGTACGGAGCCAGCAGAAATTAGGGAGTTAGTTACATTATAGAACTTTTACAACTTTGTGAAATAAAATGGGTGCCTATGATAGACTATGCTGTGAAATAATGAAACATTTTGCTGATGAGGGTGACATTAGTCTCCTGTAAGAATGGCTAACTGTCTTTAGTTCTGCAGGAATTTGCCCAGAAACAAAAGTATTGGACATTAAAATGTTGACCTGATGATGGCGCTAGAGGAAAAGTCAGAGGATCACCAAAGAAATGTTTGTAGAGGAAAAGGTTGATTTTATTTGTATTTACAAAATGTTAAAATGACTTCACACACAGGTGAACCAACCTGGGTGGACCTGAATCTAACATACTTTAAGTTTTGTATTTGGACAATGACATCATGAGTACAAAATAAGTGTGCCCTTCACAATAAAATTCATTTTGTTAGAAAAAAAAAACTCATTGTACATTTAATTTTGCTTTTGGAACTTTTTAAAATCCGACATGATCCTTGTTTTTTAAATCGTATTGTCGTTGTGTCCGTCCAGCAGCGGTAGATCGGACAGCGGTGAAGAGGTTCAGACGTAAGCTTTGGAGCTGCTGCTGTCGGAGGCCGGAGCTGCTCTGTAGATGTGCTGACCTTGGCTCGTTTTAGAGAAGTTGTATGAAAACTGCCTGAAGAAGAAAACACAAAGTTTCTTATACGACAAAAACACACAATCCAAGTCTTTAAAATATCAAACACAATGACGTTTCTCTCCATAACAGTCTGTCTTTGGTTGAGCGATATATTTACCTTCATTGTGAAGGATCAACACAGAGTCCAAAGTCAAAGCTAACATTGCTGCTGAGCTTGTGGGACTTATTGTCTGATTGTGCTTTTAGCTGGATAACGTTAGCTTGTTAAGCTTGATAAGCTTAGCTTATCGATAGCAAAATGCTATCTGAGTAAATATGTTAGTTGGCTAACATTAGCTTCCCCAGCTAACCTGATATATGATGCTAACTTATGTATTCTGACAAACTGTGTTGATTTTAGCCAACAATAAATTATGCTAACAATACAAAGCTAACGATAGCTTTCTACTAGCCAAGAGCGATGTGAGGGAGGGGCATCCAGCTAGCTAACTGTAGCTAAGCTAACTGGTGTTGTCCGGCTGGCTGTGTCTTGGCTGCGCGGTGTGAGTCTGGTGTTGCATTGTGGGTCTGGTGTCGGTTGCTTCGTGGTGTTGGCTGATGGCTGATTTGTAAACAGCGAGCTAGTTGTTAGCATGGAGCTAACGGTCCAAATATAAATATAGGATCATTGCAGATAGTAACGTTATTCTAAATATGATTGTCAGTTATTTTACAGCGTTCAGTGTTTGTTGGGCGACGCCCAGGATGTTGCAACAGGACGCTGACTGCAGTTCACTGATCGGCCACTGGTGGCGCTGTTAGCTACAGTTGCATATAGAAGCTAGCTGGAATCAAACTCCTACGATGGGATCCTGTGTGGTGCTGTGGGTTTACCGTGCAGGGGCGGCGGGGGAAGTCTTCCTGCAGGAGCAGCAGAGCATAGATCCTCCCAGTATGGCCAGACAGGAGGCCGCCCAGCCCAGATAAAGACCAGTACCCAGCTCGAACCTGCAGCAGCAGCACACACACAGCGTTAGCAGCAGGAAGTCACACACACATATACGAACACTGCAGAGGAAGCTGAGACTGACCGGACGCCTCCGTACAGCGGGTCGTAGAAGTCCTGGATGACTCTGGCAGCGTACCAGGAGACTGCACTCAGAGTGAACACACCTGCAAAGATATTATTGACAATAACTGGTTTTAAACTGATCTTTTTATTGATGGACAGATGGATCATTCTGTTAAACACATACCAGACAGGATGAACAGGATTCCTCCGGTCAGGGCGATCTGGTCTTTGATGTGTTCCGAGGTTCTGCCGATCTTGGTGCACTTGAGTCCCAGCACGGAGACGATGATAGAGGCCAGACCGACCAGCAGGGACAGGATCATCAGAGCCCGGCAGGCCTGCAGGTGAACTGGAAACCACCACACACATCAAACACAGTTTATTAATAAGGAAGAACCTTGTGATGTTCCAGAATCAGTTTTTGGAAAATTTGTTTAAAGTTTGATGCTCTGATTCTTGGCAATAAGTAACTGTGAATGATTAGTTTATTAAAAAAATAATATTTTGATTTGAAATAATATCAATAAACGGCCGTTCTACCGAATCTGTTCCATTTGAACTTATTGATCTGTTAAATATCTTAAACATGTATTCTCTCTAATAGCCAGCAGGGGGCAGCTCCACTCTGATAGTATTGAGTCTTATGGAGAATTTATGAGCTCAGTGAACAGTTTCCTGTTTTACCCCAATAGCTAAACAACATCATTAATAATGGGTAAATGAATGGAAGTATACACACAATACTGTACACAGTGAAACAGATGAATTAATTGATTTATTTTTGTCGAACACAATCTGAGTCCTCACCCGGCAGTCCCAGCACCGTCTTGAACCTGCTGCACTGGAGGGACCCCAGCGAGGTGGCGGCGCAGCTCATCCACAGACCTTCAAACTGCCACTGACTGCTGCTGACCGACTCCTGCTGACTCCTCACCTTCCACACCTGGGAGGAGGTACAGCTGGACTGCAGACACCAGGACACCACGCCCAGTAGCAGACCCACAACCTGCAGGCCCACTGCCATGCTGCTGAACACCCCACACACACCTGGAACACCTGGGAACACCTGGAACACCTGGAAACACAGCAGGATGTCAACAACACCCAAAAACATGTAAAGGTGCAGTGAGTTAGATTTAGTGGCATCTAGCGTAGTTGCAGATTGCAGCTCCATCGCTTCACCCTCCCATTTCAAACACATGTATCTGCAGCGCTGACCTCTGCCCTGTATCTACAGCACTGACCTGGTCCTATATCTTGGAGCAATCACACAATAACACACAGGTGATACTGACAATAATAAAAATCTACAAAACCACAGTGGCAAAGAATCTGACACCAAACTAAGGCGGCCACTGCTGCCCCTCTAGGTCCGCCACTGTCTGTAGGAAAATACTTATATTTAATTTTTAAAGTAAAAGTAATTGTGAAAAATAAAAGCTCTTAAAGGTCCAGTGTTAAGTACCTTTAAGTAGCTATGGCTAACATGTTAGCAACCAGCTGCCTAAATCAACATCAAGCAGATTATGCTGTTGGCATAGTCAGTAATTATTTGTATTATTTGTAGTATTTATTTATATTATTGTTGTTCCTCAGGGTTCTATTCTTGATCCTCTTCCTTTGTAGTTTACATGCATCAATTCAAGTTATGTTCATAAACCATGTGACAGTCCTACAACGACCCAAACATTGATTTAGACTTTAAGATGTATTTGGTTCCAGATTTGTCCACCACAAAGGAAATATAATAAAGATTAGATTAGATAAGAATCAAACAGTGTCAAAAAATGTATCAAAATATTAAAACCTTTTTTATTCTCAGTCTCAGGAGGGAATTTCCCTAAAACAGATACAGTAGTTTCATTGTTAATAAACAGTTTAGGGATTATTTTCAGTGGCATTATTTGCCCTCTCTGACCTCCGCCACAGCCCTTCAAATTAAAACTACTTCCTGTTTCAGTCACATGCTGTGCCTCAAATCCAACAACTAAAACCTGAAATCCATTGAGCGACGTCTTCACTGTTTAAGACGAAGAAAGAGCCAGAAATACAAATTCAGACTGTAAAAGGATTCACAGAACAGATCAGTCTGAACCCCCCTGACACAGGACCACATCGGTCCTGTTCATATATCCAGATCACAGTCCTTACCGTCAGTTTTTTAGGTTCTCTGCTGTTCCTTCTTTCTCTGCAGATGTTTGTCAGGTTGATGTGGATCTGATCTGATCCTCTGAGGTCTGCTGGTCTTTGTTTCAGTGATGTGGAGGGTCTCTGTGAGCCTGATCTGAGGTCTGCTGGTCTTCAGGGTCGATGAACTCTGGCAGAGGTTGCACCGCCTCTGAACACACAAAATTATTGACATACTAGAATCACAGTTTCCCCTCAACCCATTTGTTACAAACAGGTTTCGGCTCATCGATAAAACTTTATTAAATAAATCTGTTTAAAAAGGTTTTAATGTTTCACTAATAATTGTTAAAGAAATCTGAAACTTTTAGAGTGAAGAAGGATTCATAGGTATGTTTGTCTTAGTGTATAATCACCTGAAAATAAGAATCGGGTTTTTGTTCCTTTGTTTGTTTGTTTTTACTCTGAACCGCCATCTTCCTACAGTAGCCCTGAACGGACAAAGGTCCTCTGAAAAGAGTGGGAACCCTAACAGTGGGTATGTTTACTTTTAATGTTTTAATATAAGTATTTTCCTACAAACAGGGACGGATCTAGAGGGGCCAACTCTACACCGCACTACCTCACCTGTTTACATGTTAACATATTTATTTATTTATCCTATTTTTATTTCATCCTGTAAATACTCAAGTGCCTTGATTCTTGATTGTTTATTTTATGTCTTGTTGATTGTTGATTGTTTATTTTATGTCTTGTTAATTGTTGATTGTTTATTTTATGTATTTTTTTATTTATAGAAAGATTATTTCTATTGCCTGTTTGCACCGTGGGTCAGAGAGGACTGAAATTTCATCTGTGCTGTATGTCGTGCATGTATAGCATATTTGACAAGTAAAGCTGACTTGACTTGACTTGATATAATGCCCGACCACCCCAGTTTGGTGTCAAATTGAACACATTCATTTAGATAAATTAATTATTTAATTTATCTAAATGTGTTAAAAAACAGAAATTAACACATTTCATTTAATGATTTGTTATGTCCTCAATTCAATTTCAATGAAAAAAGACAATTTATTGTTTTCCAAAGCCACATTTAAATATTTCTATTCTATTTCTATGCTTTATTAATGTGCCATAATAATGTTCTTGAATTAAAATATCTTAATTTTTGTGATTTTCCCATCAAATATTGATATATGTGATTGTTTGTAGTTAAATCAGCAGATATATAGCTCCTAGCCAGTAACAAGGTGTCATACATCAGAGTGGAGTGAAGTGAGGACATAATCTAAAACTTTTACTTAATTTTTCGCCTTTATTTTTTATTTTATTTACAATGTATTATGTCATTGTGTTTCTGTGACTGCTATAGATACAGGGCAGTGGTTAGTGCTATAGATATAGGGCTGAGATTTGTACTATTTGATTCATATATCTTCAGATGTGAATCACTTCTTACTGGGACTCCTTCAGAAACTGTATGTTGAATGTGAATATTCTAGTTAGTAATATTATTTGTGTCTTTCTTTACATTGTTGTTCCTATTTTGTCAATATTTCTGTATGATTGAACGCTTTGTGATATTGTATCAGTTCAGTATTGATTTTATGATGTTCTTCATACTATGACTGCAGATTTTAGTTTTTAAATTGCAATATATTGATGTGTGATATCTACATAAAATAAATACATATAAATGTAATTCTTATTTGTGTGTGCAGTACATATATATATATTTATTTGTGGTTAAACTTGCAGTAGTAGTGACAGTATTTACAGTGTGTGACAGTTTGTGGACTTTAGTCTGTTTATCAAACTCACTTCATGTTTGCAGGTCAGTTAACTTCGAGTTATCAAAGAGCTTCGATGGAAGAAAGAAACTCAGGAACTGAAGAATAAAAATGTCTTTAAATAAACATTCAGAGATTCTTCTGTATTTTGTGTTCATTTTTAGGGCTCAGCTGGAAGAAAGGGAGAAAACTTAAAGAAAGAAATGTATGATACTGAAACGTCTCTGTAGCCACAAAGATCATCAAATTAACACCAAAGAAACCAAAAATATTTACATCTGACAATCGGCTAACGGTTAATCAATAAAAAGTTGCTGCCAATTAATTTTCTGTCAATCAACCAATCGATTAACCCTTTCAGGTCTAATAGTTCTGGTTGGTTCCAGGGTAAATACTTAAACTATAGGTATAAAACTACAGGTGCTTTTTGGATCCGAGGATAGAGGAGGTCAGGCTTGGATGTTTATTTAAAGTGTTTTCCTACACGAGGCTCTGGTGCCCCCCAGTGGAGGTCAGGTTAAACGATCAATCAGAACAATAAGTGAAGACTTCAGAGTGATGTGGTTTAGTTTCCTCGAGATTTTGTTGAACAATGACTCGGTTCATATCTCCCTGAAATCTCTCTGATCTCATCATCTCCAAATGATTGAAAACACAAGTCCAGGAGTTCAGGTTCCATTTTATTGGACAGTTAACAACCGGCTGCCTCTGTGGACTTTGTGCTCCTCATCAAGGTTCCGCTTTATTGTCTTTTTACAACACAGTAAAGTCTTTATTATCCTTTGGGCTCGTCTCAGCAATCTCACTCATTCTCTAGATTGGAGCAGTGATTTACAGGTGGTTTTACTCAGCTGCTGCAGAGTCCTCTGGTCCTGGACTGTCCACATTTCATGCCAGTTCTAGAGGGTCATCTCACTTCCCCCAGACCCACCAATCATTTCTGATGAACTCCCCAGACTTCATCCATCCACCAGAGGCCCTCAGACTGTCCCACTGATTCCCAATTACCCCCCACAGAATGTATAGCAGCTTACCTCCACCTCTAATGTGTAGTTGTTAACATGTTTCTGAATCCAACGTGTTGGACTACAGTGACTCCGTTACCACGGTAACCAACACTCACTAAAGCTGCTTTCTGGAAGTCGAGTAACTACAAATGAAGATTAAATCAACTTCCAGCTACTTCAGGTCAACATTTATCTTCCTATGCTCCCATTAAACAGCGACTGTATCTGCTTTCACTGGCAGTTATAGGTATGGTTACATAAACACCTCTCTGCTGTTTCTTGGTCAAAGTCTAGTTTCACTTCTGCTCTGGGTGTTTCCTGATTAAAGTTTACTTTCACTTTCTCTGAAGGAGTGTTGCAGTTGTGTTTCTCCGTCTCAACCTCCAGCTGAAGGTAATGGAACAAGTTTTTAATGTTTTCCTCGTTAACACAAGCTGTCGTTAGTTCATTTCCCCTAGAAACAGCAACAATCTGCCTCCATTGTTCATTTCTCTGCTGGAAACTCGGGATGAAGCAGCTCAAACAACCGTTATTAAATACAGGCTAATATCTGTCGGCCATTTTGTGTGTCTTTTAGTGAGTGTACAGTAAAATAAGAGTCCAAGTAGATTCAGTTGATGCTCAGCAGTTGAACACAGAAACTTTTAAAACAGTTCAAAGTGGCTCCAACATTACAGTACTCTTTATGATAGAGTAATAGAATAAGTGTAATGGAGTATTTGTACAGTGTGTCTGTACTTTTACTGAACTCAATCACTTGTTCCAGCACTGCTATCTTTGAATGGATCAGACTGTAACAATAAAGCAGTTTGAGCTGCTCTGCTCACTGATTCTATCTCTGATTGTTTACAGTGCAAACAGAACAACTGTGCAATACTTCATACTTTATACTTCACTACAGCTTCTTACTTTATCACATTATTTGAACATTACAGATCAAAGTCTCCAGCAGTGTCTAAAGTACTTCAAATCAACAGTTTGTACTTTGAGTCAACCTGTGAACACAGTATTGTCTCAGTGTGCTACTAATAGTTGGAGTACTTGTTGTAGTACTACTTCCCTGATTGGATGTTATTGATGAGCTCTGGTACACAGGCCTGCTGCACTGCACTGTTCACCTTCTGACTTTAACAATAAAGTTTGATTCAAAAAAGACTGCAGCCTCATCACGCTGCATTCAAGGCCCGTGGGAAGTTGGAAAGTCCCTTGTGCTGCATTCATGAGACAAAGTGTGAACCAGACAGAGATTTTGACTTCTCCATAATTTCATAATAATTCCTGTAAAGTTTCCTGGAGAACAAAATGTCATTTTGGTCTCATTAAAGAGGAAATAGAGACACACACACACACACACACATGAAGTTCACTGCTCTTTGTTGACTGCCATCTTCCTCCACTTGTCTTTAGAAATCATGTGGCTCCATCTGCTGGTGCCAAAGTGAACTGCAGGATGATTCCATTAGAAATGAAGATCAGAAAAACTTTATTGTCACATTAGTGGTTGACGTGGCTCACACAGGTTCACATAGAATAAAAGCACCATGAATGACTTCATATACTGCTGGATAACTTCATCTAGAATAATACATCATCATTGATTATTGATTCTATATTGGATTCATAAGCTCCATCTGCACAGTAACTCCAGTATAAAGTAGCATACAGTGGAAATAGGCAAGAAAAGGAGCTCCCAATTGTACTTCCTCCCCCCCCTGGGGTGTAGCGGGGCTCCTCCCCCCCCCCCCCTTTGGGGTGTTTTTACTTAAAAGTTATTGAGAAGAGAAAAAAAGAAATAACCAGAGGAGCCGCTGATCTTCTTACAGCAAAAGTAGGAAAGGATGATTTCAGTTGATGTGCACATGAATGATTTGTGTTTCCTCTCCAGATCAAAGTGTGTGTGAGCTGATGTGGATGTGAGTTCAGCAGCATGAGTCAGTGTGAGGACAGAGAGGAGGGAGCCCCTCCCTCTAAAAGCACTCTGTGGGGATCTGGACCTGGACCTAGACCTGGACCTGAACCTGAACCTGGACCTGAACCCAGCTGTCTGTCCTTCAAGAGCGATCGGTCAAAAGGGATTGTCACTGACTTTAAAGAAAGACAATCATGTGACATAAAGTAAGATGTTGTGATGCTTTAATGATTCCTTTTTATATTGGGGCTGAAACGATTCTTCCAGGAACTGGATGACTAAAGTTCTTTGCATCGAGGCTTCATGTAATCCATACAAGTTTCAATTACCATTACCATTTCAATCAGAAAACAAAATGCAAACTCTGTACAGTGTCTGTTGGAAACTAGCCGAGCACAAGAGCACAATGTCGCTGTGGAAAGAGAGCAATAGATAGTTAGTAATCATAAGAGATCAATCATCTGATCGCGTGTGGTTACCTCAAGTTTATCTGCTGATAGCTAAATATCTGTCCTCAGTGTGGAGCCACTCAGCTGTGAATAAGAAGACACCGTAGGAACGTTAACGTTCCATAAACTTTTTTTCTGAGGCAGAACACACACACAGCCTTTCACTGACAATTCTACTGCAACCTGAACTTATTCCACACTGTAAGTCTGACTACAGTAACGTTACTGTCCCTCACACAGCGGGAAACACTCACTGCCTACTGCTAACAGCTTACCCACAATGCACCTGTCTTAAAGGGGAACACACAGTGCAGTTAGGCTGTGGCTGGAGGAAGGATCAATACTTTACTGAAGTAAAAGTATTAATACCACAGTGTGAAAACCCTCCACTACCAGTACAGTGTCTTACTTCTTTTAACCCTGGTTTGGGGCAATATTAAGTGGTGTCTTTAACTTTGATTTGGTCCCAGACGAAGAATATCTGTCTCTGTTTGGTCTTCCTTGTGTTTCACAGCTACGTACCAATTTCCTTCCAATTACCACTGGGCAGGTAGCATCCAATGATTCTGTGTGAGACTGTCCACAGTATTATATTGGGTCAACAAGTGCAGCAGGTCAATCATCTGCATCAGTGTTCTTTACTATAATTTAACTCAGACATAATGTGAGCTCATTCTTCATGATTCCTCCACAGGGTGGACCAGGAGAGCTCAGAGGTTCCCAGTGGTCAGTCTGCCCAGCAGCATCAAACACACCTGGACTCCATATTTATGGTCTGTACATGGACAACAACTACTTTTACATCTATTGTGTTCACAATAATCTCCATGCTGCACTTTTTAGACCAGTGGATTGTCAGTCTGTCCAACATGGATCTGATGTTTGCTTCCATGATTTGACTTTGATTGAGTCATTCATATAATATTCTGTTCCAGCTGCTGGAGGACAACATTGTTAACTTTGTGAAGAACGAGCTGAAGAAGATCCAGAAGGTTCTGAGTTCAGATTACCCAGAATGCTTAGAGAGTCAAAGGGAGGATGAGGAGGTATTGGACGGTGAGGATGAAGAGCAGAGGAGGAGCAGAAAGGCATTTCTGAAGATCACACTGCACTTCCTGAGGAGAATGAAGCAGGAGGAGCTGGCAGATTGTCTGCAGAGCAGTAAGAGGATTTCTCTAAAGATTTAACTCGCTGGATAAATGAGACATTTACTGATGTCTGCGCAGATGGTGAAGAATATGTTTGTATATCCACTAATGTCACTTATTTTTGTGTTTTCATTCAGGAAGTCATTCTGGAGTTTGTCAGTTTGAACTTAAATCCAACCTGAAGAAGAAGTTCCAGTGTGTGTTTGAGGGGATCGCTAAAGCAGGAAACCCAACCCTTCTGAACCAGATCTACACAGAGCTCTACATCACAGAGGGAGGGACTGCAGAGGTCAATGATGAACACGAGGTCAGACAGATTGAAACAGCATCCAGGAAACCAGACAGACCAGAAACAACAATCAGACAAGAAGACTTCTTTAAACCCTCACCTGGAAGAGATGAACCAATCAGAACTGTGATGACAAAGGGAGTGGCTGGCATTGGGAAAACAGTCTTAACACAGAAGTTCACTCTGGACTGGGCTGAAGACAAAGCCAACCAGGACATACAGTTCACATTTCCATTCACTTTCAGAGAGCTGAATGTGCTGAAAGAGAAAAAGTTCAGCTTGGTGGAACTTGTTCATCACTTCTTTACTGAAACCAAAGAAGCCGGAATCTGCAGGTTTGAAGAGTTCCAGGTTGTGTTCATCTTTGATGGTCTGGATGAGTGTCGACTTCCTCTGGACTTCCACAACACTGAGATCCTGACTAATGTTACAGAGTCCACCTCAGTGGATGTGCTGCTGACAAACCTCATCAGGGGGAACCTGCTTCCCTCTGCTCGCCTCTGGATAACCACACGACCTGCAGCAGCCAGTCAGATCCCTCCTGAGTGTGTTGACATGGTGACAGAGGTCAGAGGGTTCACTGACCCACAGAAGGAGGAGTACTTCAGCAAGAGATTCAGAGATCAGGAGCAGGCCAGCAAAATAATCTCCCACATTAAGACCTCACAAAGCCTCCACATCATGTGCCACATCCCAGTCTTCTGCTGGATCACTGCTACAGTTCTGGAGGATGTGTTGAAGACCAGAAAGAGAGGCAAGCTGCCCAAGACCCTGACTGAGACGTACATCCACTTCCTGGTGGTTCAGTCCAAACTGAAGAACATTAAGTATGATGGAGGAAGTGAGACAGATCCACTCTGGAGTCCAGTGAACAGGAAGATGATTGAGTATCTGGGAAAACTGGCTTTTGAGCAGCTGCAGAAAGGCAACCTGATCTTCTATGAATCAGACCTGACAGAGTGTGGCATTGATATCAGAGCAGCCTCAGTGTACTCAGGAGTGTTCACACAGATCTTTAAAGAGGAGAGAGGACTGTACCAGGACAAGGTCTTCTGCTTCGTCCATCTGAGTGTTCAGGAGTTTCTGGCTGCTCTTCATGTCCATCTGACATTTATCAGCTCTGGAGTCAATCTGCTGGCAGAAGAACAAACAACCTCCCAGAAGTCTGAAACAAGAAAAGATGAATCAGCAGAGACACAGTTCTACCAGAGTGCTGTGGACAAGGCCTTACAGAGTCCAAATGGTCACCTGGACTTGTTCCTCCGCTTCCTCCTCGGACTTTCACTGCAGACCAATCAGACTCTCCTACGAGGTCTGCTGACACAGACAGGAAGTGGCTCAAAAACCAGTGAGGTAGCAGTCGAGTACATCAAGAAGAAGATTGAAGAGACTCTCTCTGCAGAGAGAACCATCAATATGTTCCACTGTCTGAATGAACTGAATGATCGTTCTCTAGTGGATCAGATCCAACAGTCTCTGAGTTCCGGAAGTCTCTCCACAGATAAACTGTCTCCTGCTCAGTGGTCAGCTCTGGTCTTCATCTTACTGACATCAGAAAAAGATCTGGACGTGTTTGACCTGAAGAAATACTCTGCTTCAGAGGAGGCTCTTCTGAGGCTACTGCCAGTGGTCAAAGCCTCCAACAAAGCTCTGTAAGTGGGATTTATTCATCAATTAATACACTGATATCTTTCAACAGGAGAAAAACATCAATCAGTTTTTACTTGTTTCCTTACTGTTGTCTCTCCAGACTGAGTGTCTGTAACCTCTCAGAGAGAAGCTGTGAAGCTCTGTCCTCAGTTCTCAGCTCCCAGTCCTCTAGTCTGAGAGAGCTGGACCTGAGTAACAACAACCTGCAGGATACAGGAGTGAAGCTTCTGGCTGCTGGACTGAAGAGTCCACATTGTGAACTGGACACTCTCAGGTCAGGAATCATTAACCCATTCAACTTATCATTGATTGAGGCGGCTGTGGCTCAGAGGCAGAGTGGGTCGTCCCCTAATCGGAAGGTTGTTGGTTCGATCCCCGGCTGCTCCTGCCACATGTCGAAGTATCCTTGAGCAAGATACTGAACCCCAAATTGCACAGCATCGGCGTGTGAATGTGTATGAATGAGTTAGTTTCTGTTTGATGGACTTTGCCATCGCTGTGTGAAAGGGTGATTGTGGCACGTAGTGTAAAAACGCTTTGAGTGGTCAGAAGACTAGAAAGGTGCTATACAAGTACAGGTTCATTTACCATTAGTGGATAAACAGCTAACCTGTTTAGGATTGTGTCTGCTAATATGATTTGTCAAAGGACCTTTAACTAAACTTCAGCAGCTAGACTAGATGGAAAATTACTTTCCATGAGGATTTGTATCATTTGTTGTTGCATGATAGAATACCACAGAGAAAGATTTATTCTACATGTGTATCTGGACCAAAATGTAAATAAAATAAAAACCAAGAGCACAGAGCCAAGTATTCACAGGGGGGTTCCTCAAGAACTGGTTTCAGGATAAAGGGCAGACTGGTTTCCTCTGTCTGGTGGCGACTTTGATAAACCACTGTGAAGTCACATTTTTCTTTTGTGAGTGCACACAGCGCTCTGCTCAAAGTCTTTATTGTCCCTTTTTGACCAAAGCTTCACTCTTCATGAACACATTGTAATGTTTTTAGCATGCTAGCAGCATGGTTCTATGGATGGTAATGTAGGTCAGTCAGTCCGTTCTCCACTTTGGTCCAGAGTGAAATATCTCTACAGCTATTGGATGGATTGTGATGAGATGTGCTTCAGACATTCATGTTCCCCTCAGGATGAATTGCAATAACTTTATTGATCTTTTTCCTTTAACGCCACCATCAGGTCAACATTTTAATGTAAATACTCTGGTCCATGAACAAATACCTGCAGAACTAATGACATTCCCATCCACCTCAGCTGCACTTTGTGTTTACTGCTAATGATCTAATGAGTAAAAACAAAGATTATTTCTTTATTTGCAGACGATCTCTGCTTGTATTGGACGCACCCTCAGATGATCTGCCATGTGTGTTGTTTTGTGGCTTTGCAGGCTGTCAGACTGTCTGATCACAGAGGAAGGCTGTGCTTCTCTGGCCTTAGCTCTGAGCTCCAACCCCTCCCATCTGATAGAGCTGGACCTGAGCTACAATCATCCAGGAGACTCAGGAGTGAAGCTGCTGTCTGCTGCACTGGAGGATCCACAGTGGAGACTGGACACTCTCAGGTATGAAGAGGCCTGCTGCAGCCACAGACAGTCAGTCTGATAGAGGAGGTCTGTTTGGTTCATGGTGGATATGAGTGTTATATGAACAATCACACATGTAGGAAGCCTTTTTCTGTTTCTCTGAACATAAACACTGGTTGAACATAAAAAGGAGATATTTGTGTAGAGCAATAGTAGTGAACATAGTCTTCACAGCAAACACGGGTTGTAAATATATGACATTTGCAGACACCAAGTCGCTAGTCTAAATCTAGTTCTTGGCACCTTGAGACTGTAATCAATAGAGTAATATCAGAAACCGACTAATCAATAGACTAAGGTCAGAGGGTTCACTGACCCACAGAAGGAGGAGTACTTCAGCAAGAGATTCAGAGATCAGGAGCAGGCCAGCAAAATAATCTCCCACATTAAGACCTCACAAAGCCTCCACATCATGTGCCACATCCCAGTCTTCTGCTGGATCACTGCTACAGTTCTGGAGGATGTGTTGAAGACCAGAAAGAGAGGCGAGCTGCCCAAGACCCTGACTGAAATGTACATCCACTTCCTGGTGGTTCAGTCCAAACTGAAGAACATCAAGTATGATGGAGGAAGTGAGACAGATCCACACTGGAGTCCAGTGAACAGAAAGATGATTGAGTCTCTGGGAAAACTGGCTTTTGAGCAGCTGCAGAAAGGCAACCTGATCTTCTATGAATCAGACCTGACAGAGTGTGGCATCAATATCAGAGCAGCCTCAGTGTACTCAGGAGTGTTCACACAGATCTTTAAAGAGGAGAGAGGACTGTACCAGGACAAGGTCTTCTGCTTCGTCCATCTGAGTGTTCAGGAGTTTCTGGCTGCTCTTCATGTCCATCTGACATTCATCAACTCTGGAGTCAATCTGCTGGCAGAACAACAATCAACCTCCCAGAAGTCTGAAACAAGAAAAGATTAATCAATAGAGTAATATCAGAAACAGACTGTAATCAATAGAGTAATATCAGTGTTTTGACACTGACTGAGGGTTTGGAGGGAAACAGTGTTGGAGTCTCTGTCAGGTGGTTTTAGGGCAGAGGTCTGGAACCAAGGACTGCTTTTGAAGTGGGACTCTGAATGGAGAGCGGATCATCCAAAAAGAGGTTTGTGTGTGTTATCAGATGTTGTCCTCCTCTTTCACACACACCAACATCCTGTGGCTCACTCTCAGTGTATGAGGAGAGTTTAGGGGGAGCAGCGATGCACACATTGTGTATCTGTGTATGACACTGATGTAATGTCCATGTTTGCATGCTGAAAGAGGATGTGCTGCTCTGATCCCCCTCCTCCTTTCAGGGTGGAGCCTGCTGGAGTCCGATGGTTGAGACCAGGTCTGAGGAAGTGTAAGTGTGAAAACAAAGCAGCACACATTCAACCATCTTCACACTGTGACATCACTCATTCACAGCTCTGATGTCATCATCAAAGTGTCAATCAATGATCAGATGATAGATCAATAACTGCAGCTGTATTGTGTCTTTTTCTCTCTATCAGATTCCTGTGAACTCACAGTCGACACAAACACAGTGAACAGAAACATCAAACTGTCTGACAACAACAGGGAGATGATTAATGTGGAGGAGGATCAACCATATCCTGATCATCCAGACAGATTTGACTGCTGGTATCAGCTGCTGTGTAGAAATGTTCTGACTGGTCGCTGTTACTGGGAGGTCGAGTGGAGAGAAAGAGTTTCTATATCTGTGAGTTACAGAGGAATCAGCAGGAGAGGAAACAGTAAAGACTGTGTGTTTGGAGGGAATGATCAGTCCTGTAGTCTGTACTGCTTTGATCGTCGTTACTCTGTCTGGCACAATAAGAGAGAAACACCCATCTCCTCCTCTTCCTCCTCCTCTGTCTCTAACAGAGTAGCAGTGTATATGGACTGTCCTGCTGGCACTCTGTCCTTCTACAGAGTCTCCTCTGACACACTGATCCACCTCCACACCTTCAACACCACATTCACTGAACCTCTTTATCCTGGATTTGGACTCTGGTCCAGTTCTGGTTCCTGGGTGTGTGTGAGTCCTGTGTAGGAGGGAGAGTCTCAGATCAGTTCAGTCTGTACAGGATCACAGTTCCATCCATCTTTCAGGTGATTGTTGTGTCTTTCCTCCCTTAAAGCTTTGATTCTCTCACACTGCGTAGTGTTAAGTTGGTTTTTCCTTTAGTTTGATATGTATGCTCTGTTTGTTTGTTTGTTCATATATGTATATTCTGATTCTGTTTTTGTTATCTTGTGTCATCAGGTCAAATAAAGTTACTGAAGAGAATAAAGAGAAATGATAAAAGCTAAAAACGTATTTCATTTAAACAGTTTATATTACCTGTGCTGATGGGGGGTTCCTGCTGTCATATATAATTCATTTGAAAGCCTTGTTCTTAGTCTTTCTCACCCAAACTGGAAAACACTGCAGCCAGTTCTATTTTGTTATAGTGTAACTCTGATTTTATATCTGAATTCTCAGAGTTTTCCTTAAATCAGATAAAGTAATTATTGTATGTAACCCAGTAAGAACAACACTTAATTGACTACTGTACTCAGATTCAACTCAAGGAGCGAGGGATAAATTAATGTAAAAGGTAAACACAGGGATGTTTATTTTCACAATCAACAAAAAGTGGAATCACGGTTCAGATTCAAATCCCCAATATATAAAAGAAATAAAAGAACTGAAAGTAAAGTGTCTCTTTACAGCTTATTGCTGTCTGATATCAATGTTCGTAAAAGTCCAGTCCAAAGAGCTTAGTTTGTATCCCTGTCCATCCAAGTGTAGTCAATGTGTATGTGCTACCCGGGTAGAATGTGTGTGTGTTTGTCTGTATGCTTGCTGCGTGCAGCGTAGATCTTATCTGCTCCAGGCATGAATCTTCAGGAAGATGATGAAGATGGAGAATTACAGATACTCTCTAACCCTGCCTTGCGTCAGACAAGAAACCTGGTTGGAATCGACGCTGTCCCAAAATGCAGAACCAGCAACTCAAAAAAACCCATCGGAGTCCTCAATCATATAAAACAAAAGAAACCAAATCCTCCTGTCGCAGCGGTCTGGAACCCTCTGGCAACAACTTTGGTCACGTGCAAATTCATAAACATGAGAACAAACAATATTTCTTCCATAAAATGTCATCAACTTCACTTGTGGCTGTATCGTGAGTTGTTAGCATCAGGCTTAGCTGAGGTGTTTTCTTTTTTTTGATCCCAGCATGCCATGCTCACATCTACTGGATTTACTACATATCACTTACATAATGCGCCCTCTAGCGGCTATTTTAGGCAACTACAGTCATCTTGGAACACAGTTCCCTCATAAATTCAGATATTAAAAGGAAACTTATTAACTATGAGGCCAAACAAACAAATAATAGTCAGTTAACCCAAAGCTGTACTTTCATAGGGGTTACATGTAGGTGATTTTAATATACATGTGGATGTTAACAATGACAGCCTTAGTAACGCATTTATATCATTAATAGACTCAATTGGCTTCTGTCAGAGTGTAAATAAACCAACTCATTGTTTTAATCACACTCTTGACCTTGTTCTATCATATGGCATTGATATTGAACATTTAATAGTCTTCCCACATAATCCTTTCCTATCTGACTTATCTAATTCATACTATTAGATTATAAGCCATTAGGCAAAACTCCCTACAGCAGATGTCTATCTGACAGTGCTATAGCTAAATTTAAGGAGGAGATTCCTTCAGTGTTTAATTCAATGCCATGTCTGAATTTAACAGAGTCCTATAATAACTTTAGTCCCTCTGAAATTGATAATCTTGTCGATAGTGCTACAGGCTCACTACGATCAACATTAGACTCTATCGCTCCTATAAAAAGGAAATTATTAAAACATAGGAGACTAGCACCTTGGTATAACCACCAAACCCGCCAGTTAAAGCAAATAGCTAGGAAATCTGAAAGGAAATGGCTTCTAAATTATCAGAATATCGCTCAATTTGGCATGATAATCTTAAAACCTATAGAAAGGCCCTCCGTAATGCCAGAGGAGCCTATTACTCAGCACTAATAGAAGAAAATAAGAATAACCCTAGGTTCCTCTTCAGCACTGTAGCCAGGCTGACAGAGAGTCACAGCTCTATTGAGCCACATATCCCCATAAACTTAAGTAGCAATGACTTCATGAGCTTCTTCTATAATAAAATTATCACTATTAGAGAGAAAATTAATCACCAACTGCCATCAACAGTTATCAGTGGCTCTCCAAGTTCAGGAACTTTAACTAATGTAAAGTCAAATATATATTTTGGATGTTTTTCTGATATCAATCTTCATCAGTTAACTTCAATAATTTCTTCAACGAAGCCATCAACCTGTCTTTTAGACCCCATCCCAACTAGGCTGCTTAAAGAAATCGTACCCTTAATTGGCACTTCTTTACTAGATATGATCAATCTTTCTTTATTATCAGGCTGTAATTAAACCCCTTCTTAAAAAGGACTTGTCTCTGTACTTGTATTATTAGATCTTAGTGCTGCATTTGACACCATTGACCATAATATTCTTTTACATAGACTTGAGCATCAAATTGGCATTAAAGGAACCGCACTAAGCTGGTTTAAGTCATATTTATCAGATTGCTCGCAGTTTGTACATGTTAACGATGAATCTTTCATAAATACTACAGTTAGTCATGGAGTTCCACAAGGTTCTGTACTTGGACCAATACTATTTACTTTATATATGCTCCCTTAAGGCAACATTATTAGGAATCACTCCATTAACTTTCACTGTTATGCAGATGATACGCAGGTATATCCATCAATCAAGCCCAATGAAATTAATCAATTATCTAAATTACAAACATGTCTTAAGGACATAAAATCCTGGATGACCTGCAATTTTCTGATGTTAAAAGAAATTCTTGTACTTGGCCCCAAACACCTCTGAGACTCACTGTCTAAAGATATAGTCACTCTAGATGGCATTAACTTGGCCTCTAGCACCACTGTCAGGAATCTTGGAGTTATCTTTGATCAGGATTTGTCATTTAACTCCCACATAAAGCAGACCTCCAGGACTGCCTTCTTTCATTTACGTAATATTACAAAAATTAGACACATCCTATCACAGACAGATGCAGAAAAACTAATCCATGCATTTGTTACTTCAAGGCTGGATTACTGCAACTCTTTATTATCAGGTTGCCCCAATAAGTCCATTAAAACGCTCCAATTAATTCAGAACGCTGCAGCACGAGTACTGACAGGAACTAGAAAAAGAGATCACATCTCTCCTGTACTAGCTTCTCTGCACTGGCTCCCTGTAAAATGTAGAATAGAATTTAAAATCCTCCTCCTCACCTCAACAATTATTATTATTATTATTATTATTATTATTATTATTACTACAGTTACTATTATTACTATAATCACTGCTCATTGTCCCCCATCATTGTTGTCGTCATCATCTTCTTCATGTTCATCATCAGTCACTACTATTAGTGTAGCTAGCTACTGTTGTTGCTGTGCACCTGTCTGTCTGTCTGTCTCTCTCTCTCTCTCTCTGTCTTTGTCTCTTGCTCTGTCTCTCTGTCTGTCTCCCTCTCTTCTCCCGAAGGGTCTGTCTGAGGTTTCTGACTCTCCAAGTTTTCCTTGCCGCTGTCTCCAAGGTCTTACTCATGTACGTGGTACTGTTGGGTCTCGGTGAATAATGCTATGAATTGGCGCTATACAAATAAAATTGAATTGAATTGAATTGAACTGACTGCTATAGATACAGGGCAGTGGTCAGTGCTATAGATATAAGGCTGAGATCTGTACTATTTAATACATATTACTAATGAAAGCTCACCATATCTCTTGAACAGTGTTCAGATTTTAGGTGATATCTTCAGATGTGAATCACTTCTTACTGGGACTCTTTCAGAAACTGTATGTTCTTCAGGAAATGTGAATATTCTAGTTAGTAATATTATTTGTTCCTATTTTGTAAATATTTCTGTATGATTGAACGCTTTGTGATATTGTATCAGTTCAGTATTGATTTTATGATGTTCATACTATGACAGCAGATTTTAATTTTTTAAATTGCAATATATTGATGTGTTATATTTACATAAAATAAATACAAATAAATGTAATTCTTATTTGCGTGTGCAGTACATATATATATTAATTTGTGGTTATTTGCAGTAGTAGTGACAGTATTTACAGTGTGTGACAGTTTGTGGACTTCAGTCTGTTTATCAAACTCACTTCATGTTTGCAGGTCTTAACTTCAAGTTATCAAAGAGCTTTGATGGAAGAAAGAAACTCAGGAACTGAAGAATAAAAATGTCTTTAAATAAACATTCAGAGATTCTTCTGTATTTTGTGTTCATTTTTAGGGCTCAGCTGGAAGAAAGGGAGAAAACTTAAACTCCCTTTCAGACAGACATTTATGATACTGAAACGTCTCTGTAGCCACAAAGATAATTAAATGAATGCCAAAGAAACCAGAAAATATTCACATCTGTCAATTGGCTAACGGTTAATCAATGAACAGTTGCTGCCAATTAATTTTCTGTCAATCAACCAATCGATTAACTATTTCAGTTCTAATAGTTCCGGTTGGTTCCAGGGTAAATACTTAAACTATAGGTATCAAACTACAGGTGCTCTTTGGATCCGAGGATAGAGGAGGTCAGACCTTCTAATAATTTAGAACCAGAACACACCAACGCACTCTGAAGGGAAGAAGAGCTGATCAGAGCAGCACTGGATTACAGGTGCAATCAATAAAGTGGACAACCAGGCTGAGGTATCAATAACTATAAATACATCAATCTGGGTGGGGAAGGGAGCAGCCCCTCCCTCATTACCACCACTGAGGTGCCCTTGAGCAAGGCCCTGAAGCCCAACTGCTTCCTTTCAGTGAGCCTCCCTCAATCAATCAATATATATTCATACTGCGAGTCAGCAGCATCGTTTCTGATCAGTTTTATTTATTGGAAAGAAAACAAACAAACAAACATAAATAAGCAGAAAGACACAAACAGAACGTTTATCCCGACTCCTCTGATGGACCAGAGTCCTGAAACAAGTTCTGGATCCAGAGTGTATCATGGTGGTTCCCAACCTGACTGTAGTTCATATTGTATTGATCAATAACAGTAACTGATCAACAGTGAACACAATAACTGCAGGAAGTTTGTGGAAAACCAGAGATTAATATCAATAATAATAATAATTATAATAATAAACGTATTAAAATATGTAGTTTTCTTCAGGAAATAGATGAAATGCTGTGTTTGTGTTTGTTATTATTTATATTATGGTTGAAATCGAGACGTTTTGTCGAACAATGAACAGAAACACAATCAGAAACAATACAATCCGTCTCCATGGCAACTAAATAATAATTAGCGTCTCTGCAGGGAAACAAACTGGAATCGTTCACGTCGGTTATCGATAGAAATACGATGAGTCATTATTTTAACTCATGCTTTACTTCCTGTTGAAGCCGAACGCGGCGGCGGCTTCTTTCTGTACATTTTATACATCTTTACATTTTCCCAGCAGCCCCGGTGGTTGGGCGTCCCTACGCGGTGCCGCCGTCGTCGCTGCCGCCTCCTCTGCCCGGCCCTCCTCGGGTCCTCAGGTCGTGCATGAGAGCATGATGGGAAACCAGGAACAATTGATCCAAATATTATTGATAAACGACCACAAAGCTGCAAACAGCGTTTTTATCTCTGGCCAATCAATCAATAATCAATAATCAATCTGTTTCTGGAGAACTGAAACCGATAAAAACCAACGTCAGGAAGGCATCGGAGCGCCTGCTGTGATTGGTCGAAACACCAACTTACACTCCGAATAAAGCTCCTCCTAAATGAGCTGCGTGGTCAAAGAACTTCCATCCCAACACCACGCCGGCTGTATCCATGGCAACGATGGCCTTCAGCGCCTGGAGACAGACAGACAGACAGACAGACAGACAGACAGAGACAGACAGTCACACAAAGAGAGACAGACAGTCAGGCAGAGAGAGAGAGAGAGAGAGACAGTCAGAGACAGACAGAGAGAGAGACAGACAGACAGACAGACAGAGACAGACAGTCACACAAAGAGAGACAGACAGTCAGACAGAGAGAGAGAGAGACAGTCAGAGACAGACAGAGAGAGAGATAGACAGACAGACAGAGAGAGACAGACAGACAAACAGACAGAGAGAGAGAGAGAGACAGACAGACAGACAGACAGACAGACAGAGACAGACAGTCACACAAAGAGAGACAGACAGTCAGGCAGAGAGAGAGAGAGAGAGACAGTCAGAGACAGACAGAGAGAGAGACAGACAGACAGAGAGAGACAGTCAGAGACAGACAGAGAGAGACAGGATGAGCTCATGATGTCAGACAGGTGAACCAGGTGCAGTGTGACTCACGTTGGCAGCAGTGAAGGTGAACATTGGGAGGAAGATGATGGCCAGTTTGGCTTCTGGCATTTTGGTGCAGACGGCAGCTAGAACGGTCATTATAGCTCCAGACTGGAACCAGAGAGAATAAACTCATTATTGATCATATTGATCAGAATACACTGTATCTTTATGGATGATATTGATCAGTATACACTGTATCGTTATGGATGATATTGATCCTGTATTGACAGTCAGACTGTGGACATATGACGGCCTTTAGCTCCCGTGTTTCTAGAGTTACGTGTTGTTACGAACACTTTGAGAATTGTTAAAATGTGATATTTCTTAAAGGGAGTTTGGTGCAGGGAGCTTTTAGTTGGATTCAAACTGCTGATATGGATCATTGTTAACGTTTAGTCTCCACTACAGAAACACTAGCTGACTGCTAAAGGCTGATCAGGTTGATTGATGCTTTAATAATGAGAGTATTGATCACCGATGCTGGTGTTGTTACTTACGGCTCCCAGAGACGGACCGAACCTCCCTGTGGCCATCTTACAAATATAACTGACAAACGTAGATACGACACCTGAACACACAGAACAAACAAATCAGAGTAAACAACAACAACAACAACAACAACAACAGTGTGTGCAACCAATCACAAGCTGAACCTGCAGTGTGTCGTGCTGGCGTACCTGCAGACAGGTAGACGGCCATGAACTGCTCTCTGCCCAGCATAGAGACGGCGCTGGTGGAGAAGCTCCAGAGGACGTACATGTTGGCAGCCAAGTGGAAGAAAGAGAAGTGGCTGAATGTTGAGAGGAGCATCGGAGTGTGTGAGTCAGTGCAGATGTCTACATACTTTTGGCCAAAGTCCCAAACTACAGCCTGAGACAGAGCTGCTCTCTTTACATTCAGTCAGTGTGTTTTGGCCTTTTTGGAGCCTAAATCTTTTCTGACTGCAGAGAGTTGAGTTTTTGTGTTTGAAATGAAAGTAAAGTAGTGATCAGTGCTGCTGTCTAGGACCTTCTAACTGACTGAATAATACTCATTACTTTGTACTGCACTGGTTGGATTGGACAGCAGTCAGTATGAGAGCAGCCTGTAGGCGGCAGTGTCTCTAACATTTGTCCTCCAGCAGGAATCAAACCCACATCACATGTTTCACTGTCAGCAGCTCATCCTCCTGATCGACCTCTCACTGTGAACATGGTAAGAACAGATGTGTGAGTGATCAGCGCCCCCCCAGTGGTCAGATGGAGGAACTGCAGCACTTGGTTCATATCTCACTGAAATCCTCGACGTCTCCAAATGATTGAAAACACAAGTCCAGGAGTTCAGGTTCCATTTTAATGGACAGTTTAACAACTGGCTGCCTCTGTGGACTTTGTGCTCCTCATCAAGGTTCCGCTTTATTGTCTTTATTATCCTTTGGATCAGCAATCTCACTCATTCTCTAGATTGGAGCAGTGATGTTCTGGGTGGTTTTACTCAGCTGCTGCAGAGTCCTCTGGTCCTGGACTGTCCACATTTAATTCCAGTTCTGACCCTCTGTATCTGTCTTCAGACACTTCTCACTTCTCCCAGACCCACCAATCATTTCTGATGGGCTCCCCAGACTTCATCCATCCACCAGAGGCCCTCAGACTGTCCCACTGGTTCCCAATTACCCCCCACAGTATGTATAGGAGCTCATCTCCACCTGCTCCTGGACAGACTGTCCACTGCTGACCCTGATTCCTGTTAACCTGGTGGATCCTCAGCTGCCTCCCCTCCCCAGTAGGCTTCTGTACCCTCATTCCACCAATGAGTAAGTGGTGTAGACAGGGCTGTTTGTCTTCCTGTTCCTGAACTCAACAATCAGCTGTTTGCTTGATGACATTGAGCAGTCGGTTGTTCTCTGTGCACCTGCAACAAGGTTCAACTCCTCCAGAGTCTGTGAGTCTGAACTTGGTCTGCTTTGTATTAAGATAGGCCTCATAAGACTGTTTGTCCTGGTGCATGCTCAGAAGCTTCCCTGCTGGCCTAACAATGTAAACTGACACAAATCTCCAGTGTACTGTCTAATGTGTAGTTGTTAACATGTTTCTGAATCCAACGTGTTGGACTACAGTGACTCCGTTACCATGGTAACCAACACTCACTAAAGCTGCTTGCTGGAAGTCCAATAACAACAAATGAAGATGAAATCAACTTCCAGCTACTTCAGGTCAACATTTATCTTCCTATGCTCCCATTAAACAGCGACTGTATCTGCTTTCACTGGCAGTTACAGATATGGTTAATGTTTATCACTCACACTCCTCTCTGCTGTTTCTAGGTCAAAGTCTAGTTTCACTTCCGCTCTGGATGTTTCCTGATTAAAGTTTACTTTCACTTGCGAGCGTGGCAGTTGGTTTTCTCCGTCTCAACCTCCAGCTGAAGGTAATGGAACAAGTTTTTAATGTTTTCCTTGTTAACAAAAGCTGTCGTTAGTTTATTTCTCTGCTGGACACTGTACTTTTACTGAACTCAATCACTTGTTCCAGCACTGCTAACTTTGAATGGATCAGACTGTAACAATAAAGCAGTTTGAGCTGCTCTGCTCACTGATTCTATCTCTGATTGTTTACAGTGCAAACAGAATAACTGTGCAATACTTCATACTTTATACTTCACTACAGCTTCTTACTTTATCACATTATTTGAACATTACAGATCAAAGTCTCCAGCAGTGTCTAAAGTCCTTCAAATCAACAGTTTGTACTTTGAGTCAAACTGTGAACACAGTATTGTCTCAGTGTGTTACTAATAGTTGGAGTACTTGTTGTAGTACTACTTCCCTGATTTGATGTTATTGATGAGCTCTGGTACACAGGCCTGCTGCACTGCACTGTTCACCTCCTGAGTTTAACAATAAAGTTTGATTCAAAAAAGACTGCAGCCTCATCACGCTGCATTCAAGGCCCGTGGGAAGTTGGAAAGTCCCTCGTGCTGCGTTCATGAGACAAAGTGTGAACCAGACTGAGTTTTTGACTTCTTCATAATTTCATAATAATTCCTGTAAAGTTTCCTGGAGAACAAAATGTAATTTTGGTCTCATTACAGATGAAATAGAGACACTCTTGGTTGACTGCCATCTTCCTCCACTTGTCTTTAGAAATCATGTGGCACCATCTGCTGGTGCCAAAGTGAACTGCAGGATGATTCCATTAGAAATGAGAAAAACGTTATTGTCACATTAGTGGTTGACGTGGCTCACACAGGTTCACATAGAATAAAAGCAGCAACATGAATGACTTCATATACTGTTGGATAACTTCATCTATAATAATACATAATCGTTGATTATTGATTCTGTATTGGATTCATGAGCTCCATCTGCACAGTAACTCCAATATAAAGTAGCATACAGTCGAAATAGGCATTGTACTAAAGTACAGTAGTTGAGTAATGAACTTAGTTACTTTCCTCCACTGGCTGCCGCTTCATGTCGCCATCTAGCGGACTGCTAGTAGAAGTCCAGCAGCTGATGGCAGCTTCCTCTGCCTCACACTGCTGTCTGACTGCATTCAACTGACACTGATATGAAAGAGAGAATAAGAGCCAATCACTGGAGGAGCAGCTGATCTTCTTTCAGGAGAAATGATGGAAAGGATGATTTCAGTTGATGTGCACATGAATGATTTGTGTTTCCTCTCCAGATCAAAGTGTGTGTGAGCTGATGTGGATGTGAGTTCAGCAGCATGAGTCAGTGTGAGGACAGAGAGGAGGGAGTCCCTTCCTCTAAAAGGACTCTGTGGGGACCTGAACCTGGACCTGGAGCTAAACCTGGACCTGAACCCAGCTGTGTGTCCTTCAAGAGCGACCGGTCAAAAGATGATTTTATTGTTTTTAAACAAAAATGTTCGTCTGACAAAAGGTACGTTTTTAGAATTTAAGTTTTTAGACACAAACTCTGATCAGAGTTTGTGTCAGAGGTGGAGGACTTGAGACTTCCTGAATAACATTGATAAAAGACTCGACTTGACTTTGACTTGGTATTCCTGACTTGAGATGTGACTTAAAGTTGAGACAGATGGCTTGAAAGGACATTTTTTATTGAATACTTGCATTTTTCTACATATTGACAGAACAGAACAGAAGTTCTGTTTTGGTTCTGAAAGGGTTAGGGGGTTAGTTAGTTAGTTAGTTTTCCCAATATCATGCAGCTCTACTTAGAATACAGGACAACAATGTTGCTGCTGATGGATCCGAAAGTTCACTGGTCACCAACAGGAAAATCTGATCAGAAATCAGGAAATTTAGTCCGAGTTTGGTTGAATATTTTAAGGAAAACTGAAGCGATGATACAGACTGAAATTATCCTTTTCTGGTTAATAGCTGCTAGTTTCTCTTGCAGCTTCTGTGTCTGAAGATAAACAATCAGTTCACATCCATGGTGGTCTTCTTCTCTGTCTAACAGGATCTATAGGAGACCAGACTCTACTGGACCTGGACCTGGACCTGAACCCAGCTATGTGTCCTTCAAGAGCGACCTGTCAAAAGGGATCATCACTGACATTAAAAGAAGACATTCATGTGGCAAAAAGTAAGATGTTGTGATGCTTTAATGATTCCTTTTTATATTGGGGCTGAAACGATTCCTCCAGGAACTGGATGACTAAAGTTCTTTGCATCAAGGCTTCATGTAACCCATATAAGTACATACAGCCATACAGCACACTGTGTGTTGCACAGATTATCACTGTCACACAACGCACTTTGGAGAGAGAAAATAACGAGGGGGGAAGAGAAGAGACAGAAAGTGTCCAAAGTTTGTGACCATTTCAATCAGAAAACAAAATGCAAACTCTGTACAGTGTCTGTTGGAAACTAGCCGAGCACAAGAGCACATTTTAAAATGTGTACCACTGTCCAATAGTACCCTCGGTCCGGGTCAGCAGTTCTCCTCCCCAACTAGAAACAACCCAGCTGAGCTCTGCCTCCCTCTCCTGAGTCATCTGATGGTTTGCCAGAATGTCTTTGAGGCCAACTAAAAGTTCTTCAGCGTGGCATCCCCAAACTTTTTCCACCTACAAAGTTGTCCTCATGTGATCCAAGAAGCAGCTGACCTTCTGGTCTCAGAATACCTGTTTGCTGCTTCAGGAGTCCAGCAGGCACAGATGACCTCCTTGGCACAGCTGCTAACTGCTGCCGTTCAGACACTGATTGACAGATGTGTTGTTGATGACATTTCTAATGGGGCCAGAGGAATTCTGGTCCAGTGCAGTTTTGGCTATACTAAATTAATGCCAAAACTGCTTTAGTCCTGGTTTGGTTTAATTGTCTTTGTTGGTTTTTTTTAACCCTGGTTTGGGGCAATATTAAGTAGTGCTTTTAGTTTTGATTTGGTCCCAGAAGAAGAATATCTGTCTCTGTTTCACAGCAACGTACTAATTTCCTTCCAATTACCACTGGGCAGATAGCATCCAATCAGACTGTGTGAGACTGTCCACAGTATTATATTGGGTCAACAAGTGCAGCAGGTCAATCATCTGCATCAGTGTTCTTTACTATAATTTACCTCAAAGGACCTTTAGTTTGTGTTTGTCTCTGTGTGGACAGACATAATGTGAGCTCATTCTTCATGATTCCTCCACAGAGTGGACCAGGAGAGCTCAGAGGTTCCCAGTGGTCAGTCTGCCCAGCAGCATCAAACACACCTGGACTCCATATTTATGGTCTGTACATGGACAACAACTACTTTTACATCTATTGTGTTCACAATAATCTCCATGCTGCACTTTTTAGATCAGAGGATTGTCTGTCCAACATGGATCTGATGTTTGCTTCCATGATTTGACTTTGATTGATATAATATTCTGTTCCAGCTGCTGGAGGACAACATTGTCACTTTTGTGAAGAACGAGCTGAAGAAGATCCAGAAGGTTCTGAGTTCAGATTACCCAGAATGCTTAGAGAGTCAGAGGGAGGATGAGGAGGTGTTGGACGGTGAGGATGAAGAGCAGAGGAAGAGCAGCAGAGAGGCATTTCTGAAGATCACAGTGCACTTCCTGAGGAGAATGAAGCAGGAGGAGCTGGCTGACTGTCTGCAGAGCAGTAAGAGGATTTCTCTAAAGATTTAACTCGCTGGATAAATGAGATATTTACTGATGTCTCAACAGATGGTGAAGAATATTTTTGTATATCCACTAATGTCACTTAATGATCTTATTTGTTGTGTGTTCATTCAGGAAGTTCTTCTGGAGTTTGTCAGCGTGAACTTAAATCCAACCTAAAGAAGAAGTTTCAGTGTGTGTTTGAGGGGATTGCTAAAGCAGGAAACCCAACCCTTCTGAACCAGATCTACACAGAGCTCTACATCACAGAGGGAGGGACTGCAGAGGTCAATGATGAACATGAGATCAGACAGATTGAAACAGCATCCAGGAAACCACACAGACCAGAAACAACAATCAGACAGGAAGATATATTTAAACCCTCACCTGGAAGAGATGAACCAATCAGAACAGTGATGACAAATGGAGTGGCTGGCATTGGGAAAACAGTCTTAACACAGAAGTTCACTCTGGACTGGGCTGAAGACAAAGCCAACCAGGACATACAGTTCACATTTCCATTCACTTTCAGAGAGCTGAATGTGCTGAAAGAGAAAAAGTACAGCTTGGTGGAACTTGTTCATCACTTCTTTACTGAAACCAAAGAAGCAAGTATCTTCAGGTTTGAAGAATTCCAGGTTGTGTTCATCTTTGATGGTCTGGATGAGTGTCGACTTCCTCTGGACTTCCACAACACTAAGATCCTGACTGATCCTACAAAGTCCACCTCAGTGGATGTGCTGCTGACAAACCTAATCAGGGGGGAACCTGCTTCCCTCTGCTCGCCTCTGGATAACCACAAGACCTGCAGCAGCCAATCAGATCCCTCCTGGGTGTGTTGACATGGTGACAGAGGTCAGAGGGTTCACTGACCCACAGAAGGAGGAGTACTTTAGGAAGAGATTCAGAGATCAGGAGCAGGTCAGCAGACTTATCTCCCACATTGAGACCTCACGAAGCGTCTACATCATGTGCCACATCCCAGTCTTCTGCTGGATCACTGCTACAGTTCTGGAGGATGTGTTGAAGACTAGAGAGAAAGGAGAGCTGCCCAAGACCCTGACTGAGATGTACATCCACTTCCTGGTGGTTCAGTCCAAACGGAAGAACATCAAGTATGATGAAGGAGCTGAGACAGAGACACACTGGATTCCAGAGAACAGAGAGATGATTGAGTCTCTGGGGAAACTGGCTTTTGAGCAGCTGCAGAAAGGCAACCTGATCTTCTATGAATCAGACCTGACAGAGTGTGGCATCGATATCAGAGCAGCCTCAGTGTACTCAGGAGTGTTCACACAGATCTTTAAAGAGGAGAGAGGACTGTACCAGGACATGGTCTTCTGCTACATCCATCTGAGTGTTCAGGAGTTTCTGGCTGCTCTTCATGTCCATCTGACATTCATCAGCTCTGGAGTCAATCTGCTGGCAGAAGAACAAACAACCTCCCAGAAGTCTGAAACAAGAAAAGATGAATCAGCAGAGACACAGTTCTACCAGAGTGCTGTGGACAAGGCCTTACAGAGTCCAAATGGACACCTGGACTTGTTCCTCCGATTCCTCCTGGGACTTTCACTGCAGACCAATCAGACTCTCCTACGAGGTCTGCTGACACAGACAGGAAGTAGCTCAGAAACCAATCAGGTAGCGGTCGAGTACATCAAGAAGAAGATCGAAGAGACTCCCTCTGCAGAGAGAACCATCAATCTGTTCCACTGTCTGAATGAACTAAATGATTGCTCTTTGGTGGAGGAGATCCAACAGTCCCTGAGTTCAGAAAGTCTCTCCACCGATGAACTGTCTCCTGCTCAGTGGTCAGCTCTGGCCTTCATCTTACTGTCATCAGAAAAAGATCTGGACGTGTTTGACCTGAAGAAATACTCTGCTTCAGAGGAGGCTCTTCTGAGGCTGCTGCCAGTGGTCAAAGCCTCCAACAAAGCTCTGTAAGTGGGATTTATTCATCAATAAATACACTGATATCTTTCAACAGGAGAAAAACATAAATCAGTTTTTATTTGTTTCCTTACTGTTGTCTCTCCAGACTGAGTGGCTGTGACCTCTCAGAGAGAAGCTGTGAAGCGCTGTCCTCAGTTCTCAGCTCCCAGTCCTCTAGTCTGAGAGAGCTGGACCTGAGTAACAACAACCTGCAGGATTCAGGAGTCCAGCTTCTGGCTGCTGGACTGGAGAGTCCACATTGTAAACTGGAAACTCTCAGGTCAGGATCAAATTTCACAGTACAGAAAATCTAAGAATTTTCTGATGTATTTTCACTGATTGTACAGCACGAAATATAAACTCTGGCTGAAATCAAGAACCTTATTGTTGTTTTGAAACCATGTGACTTACTATCATTGGATCTTTACAACTGTTCAGATTAGTTGTCACATCCCCAACATGTTCAGAGTAGAACAGAAAGTATTGTGCCCTCCATGAACGTTGGTGTTTAGTTTGGCAGATATGGGAACAGTTCTCCAAATGAGAGTCAAAAGCTTTCTGTTTCAGGCTGTTTATTAGTTGCCTACCACATGAAGGAACTTTAAAACTTAGAATAAACACATTAAATCAGTTATAAAAGCAGAGTCAACCGTCTAGAAAGTGTAACAGAATGTTTAAATAACACTTAACATATGTAGCATAACAGCTACAACCATGTGGCAACATTATTAGTATTTGTACTGTTAGCTCAATGCTAACATATATTATGAATCTCATTATTTCCTCTCCAGACTGAGTGGCTGTAACCTCTCAGAGAGAAGCTGTGAAGCGCTGTCCTCAGTTCTCAGCTCCCAGTCCTCTAGTCTGAGAGAGCTGGACCTGAGTAACAACAACCTGCAGGATTCAGGAGTGAAGCTTCTGTCTGCTGGACTGAAGAGTCCACATTGTAAACTGGACACTCTCAGGTCAGGATTCATGAACCCATTCAACTGATGACCATTTAAAGTGTGATTTACATTAGTGGATAAACAGCTAACCTGTGTAGGATTGTGTCTGCTAATACGATTTGTCAAAGGACCTTTAACTAAACTTCAGCAGGAGTTTCTAGACTCAGAGAACTACTTTCCATGAGGATTTGTATCATTTGTTGTTGAATTATAGAACAGCACAGAGGATTTTAAAGATTTATTCTACATTTGTATCTGGACCAAAATGTACCTGAACAAAGACCAAAACCACGGAGCCAAGTATTGACAGGGGGGTTCCTCAAGAACTGGTTTCAGGATAAAGAGCAGACTGGTTTCCCTCTGTCTGGTGGCGACTTTGATAATCCTCTGTGAAGTCACATTTTTCTTTTGTGAGTTCACACAGCGCTTTGCTCAAAGTCTTTACTGTCCCTTTTTGACCAAAGCTTCACTCTTCATAAACACATTGTAATGTTTTTAGCATGCTAGCAGCATGGTTCTATGGATGGTAATGTGGGTCTGTCAGTCCGTCCTCCACTTTGGTCCAGACTGAAATATCTCAACAGCTATTGGATGGATTGTGATGAAATGTGGTTCAGACCTGCCAGATATAATTCACCAGGACCAGACTGGATTTATAAAACAAAGACAGACACAGGACAATAATCGGCGCACATTACATGTAATGCAAAACATAATCAAAAAAAGATTAGAAGCAATAATAGTGGGACTGGATGCAGAAAAGGCATTTGGTGGAATTTCCTGTATATGGTGCTGGAGCGATTTTGTTTCCATGAAATTTTTGTCAAAACTATTCAATCTCTCTTTAATAAACCCACAGCTAGGATCAAGATCAATGGAAATCTCTCAAACTCCTTCATACATGATCAAAATCTGTTCTTCCAAGGTTATTGTATTTATTCCAAACTCTGCCAGTAGAAGTAAAAGACAAAGACTTCACAAAATGGGACAGATTCATTTCTCGATACATTTGGCAAGGAAAAAGACCACAGATAAGATATAGAACTCTACAGCTTCCCAGAGTTAAAGGGGGACTAGCCCTGCCCTGTTTTAAGAGCTATTATCAGGTGGCGCAACTAAAAACTATGTGGAACTTGTGTAATCCTGCCTACAGTGCGAGATGGAAAGATATTGAATTCAATTGAATTCAAATCAGTTTTATTTGTATAGCGCCAATTCATAACAGAAGTTATCTCAGGACACTCTTCAAATAGAGCAGGTCTAGACCGAACTCTTTATAACATTAATTACAGAGACCGAACAGTACCACCATGAGCAAGCACTTGGCGACAAGGGCAAGGGAAAACTGCCTGTTAAAAGGCAGAAACCTAGGACAGATCCTTCGACTCTAGGTGGGTGGTCGTCTGTCTCGACCAGTTGGGGTGAGAGAGAGAGAGAGAGAGAGAGAGAGAGAGACAAACAGACAGACAGGTGCACAGCAACAACAGTATTGGCAATGGCAATCTAGCAGGACCATGGCACGAGGCTCCACCAGGATCGATAAGAACCTGCGAGACGAGAAAGCACAAGAACTCCGGGGAAGAAGTGAAGTTAGTAACATGCATTAATGGAACATGAATGAGTGCAGAAAGAGAGAGGAAGGGAGGAGCTCAGTGCACCATGGGAAATCCCCCGATAGTCTAGGCCTATAGCAGCATAACTAAGGGATGGTTCAGGACTCACCTGATCCAGCCCTAACTATAAGCTTTATCAAAGAGGAATGTCTTAAGCCTACTCTTGAATGTGGAGAGGGTGTCTGCCTCTAGAACTGAAGGCTCTGGCTCCCGTTCTACTTTTAGAGACTATAGGAACCACAGGTAGCCCAGCATTCAGAGAACATAATGTTCTAGTGGGGTAATAGGGTACTATGAGCTCTTTAAGATATGAAGGGGCCTGACCATGAAGAGCTTTATAGGTGAGGAGGAGGATTTTAAATTCTATTCTACATTTTACAGGGAGCCAATGCAGCGAAGCTAGTACAGTAGAGATGTGATCTCTTTTTCTAGTTCCTGTCAGTACTCGTGCTGCAGCGTTCTGAATTAACTGGAGTGTTTTAATGGACTTATTGGGGCAACCTGATAATAAAGAGTTGCAGTAATCCAGCCTTGAAGTAACAAATGCATGGATTAGTTTTTCTGCATCTGTCTGTGATAGTATGTGTCTAATTTTTGTAATATTACGTAAATGAAAGAAGGCAGTCCTAGAGGTCTGCTTTATGTGGGAGTTAAATGACAAATCCTGATCAAAGATAACTCCAAGATTCCTGACAGTGGTGCTAGAGGCCAAGTTAATACCATCTAGAGTAACTATATCTTTAGACAGTGAGTCTCTAAGGTTTTTGGGGCCAAGAACAAGAATTTCGTTTTTTTCTGAGTTTAACATCAGAAAATTGCAGGTCATCCAGGATTTTATGTCCTTAAGACATGTTTGTAATTTAGATAATTGATTAATTTCATCGGGCTTGATTGATAGATATAACTGCGTATCATCTGCATAACAGTGAAAGTTAATGGAGTGATTCCTAATAATGTTGCCTAAAGGGAGCATATATAAAGTAAATAGTATTGGTCCAAGTACAGAACCTTGTGGAACTCCATGACTAACTGTAGTATTTATTGAAGATTCATCGTTAACATGTACAAACTGCAAGCGTTCTGATAAATATGACTTAAACCAGCTTAGTGCGGTTCCTTTAATGCCAATTTGATGCTCAAGACTCTCTAAAAGAATATTATGGTCAATGGTGTCAAATGCAGCACTAAGATCTAATAATACAAGTACAGAGACAAGTCCATTGTCAGAAGCAATCAGAAGGTCATTATTAACTTTAACCAGAGCTGTCTCTGTGCTGTGATGAACTCCTGACTGAAAATCCTCAAATAAACTATTGTTATGTAGAAAGTCACACAACTCTTTGGCGACTACTTTCTCCAGAATCTTAGAGAGGAAGGGGAGGTTAGAAATTGGTCTATAGTTGGCTAAAACCCCTGGGTCAAGAGTGGACTTTTTAAGAAGGGGTTCAATTACAGCTACTTTAAAGGACTGTGGTACATATCCTGATAATAAAGAAAGATTAATCATATCCAGTAAAGAAGTGCCAATTAAGGGAACAACTTCTTTAAGCAGCCTAGTTGGGATCGGGTCTAACAGACAGGTTGATGGCTTCGATGAAGAAATGATTAAAGTTAACTGATGAAGATCGATAGCAGAAAAACAGTCTAAATATATATCTAAGTTTACATTGGCAGAAGTCCCTGAACTTGGAGAGCCACTGATAACTGTTGATGGCAGTTGGTGATTAATTTTCTCTCTAATAGTAATAATTTTATTATAGAAGAAGCTCATGAAGTCATTGCTACTTAAGTTTATGGGGCTATGTGGCTCAATAGAGCTGTGACTCTCTGTCAGCCTGGCTACAGTGCTGAAGAGGAACCTAGGGTTGTTCTTATTTTCTTCTATTAGTGCTGAGTAATAGGCTCCTGTGGCATTACGGAGGGCCTTTCTATAAGTTTTAAGATTATCTTGCCAATTTGAGCGATATTCTGATAATTTGGAAGAGCGCCATTTCCTTTCAGATTTCCTAGCTATTTGTTTTAACTGGCGGGTTTGGTGGTTATACCAAGGTGCTAGTCTCCTATGTTTTAATAATTTCCTTTTTATAGGAGTGATAGAGTCTAATGTTGATCGTAGTGAGCCTGTAGCACTATCAACAAGATTATCAATTTCAGAGGGACTAAAGTTATTATAGGACTCTGTTAAATTCAGACATGGCATTGAATTAAACACTGAAGGAATCTCCTCCTTAAATTTAGCTACAGCACTGTCAGATAGACATCTGCTGTAGGGAGTTTTGCCTAATGGCTTATAATCTAATAACAGAAATTCAAAAGTTATTAAATAATGGTCAGATAGGAAAGGATTATGTGGAAGGACTATTACATGTTCAATATCAATGCCATATGATAGAACAAGGTCAAGAGTGTGATTAAAACAATGAGTTGGTTTATTTACACTCTGACAGAAGCCAATTGAGTCTATTAATGATATAAATGCGTTACTAAGGCTGTCATTGTCAACATCCACATGAATATTAAAATCACCTACAATAATTACTTTATCTGATTTAAGGACTAAACTTGATAGAAACTCTGAGAATTCAGATATAAAATCAGAGTACGGTCCAGGAGCGCGGTACACTATAACAAATAGAACTGGCTGCAGTGTTTTCCAGTTTGGGTGAGAAAGACTAAGAACAAGGCTTTCAAATGAATTATAATTTAGTTTAGGTTTAGGGTCCATTAAAACGCTCCAATCATATATGGCTGCCACTCCACCTCCTCGGCCAGTGCCTCGAGGAATGTGAGTATTAATATGACTGGGGGGGGTGGATTCATTTAGGCTATCATACTCCTCGTGGGACAACCAGGTCTCAGTAAGACAAAGTAAATCAATATCATAATCTGATATTAATTCATTCACTAAAACAGCTTTAGAGGACAGAGACCTGATATTTAACAGCCCACATTTCATTCTCTTATTTTGTGCTACTGAGGAGTTAGTTTTAATTTTTATTAGATTTTTATGTTGAACTTGTTTGTATTTCTTTAAATAATTTAGGTGGTCGGGGGACAGACACAGTCTCTATGGGGTTTTGGGTGGGTGACTGTTCTAAAGAAAGAGCAGAGAAGTGTGTAAGACAGCAGCTCTGCTTCCTGGTCCTAACTCTGGACTGTCAGGTTTTAGAAATAAACTTCGCCATATTTCAAGATAAGAGAGCCGCTCCATCCAAAGTGGGATGGATGCCGTCTCTCCTAATCAGACCAGGTTTTCCCCAAAAAGGCTTCCAGTTATCAATGAAGCCCACATCGTTTGCTGGACACCACCTTGACAGCCAGCGGTGGAATGACGACATGCGGCTATACATGTCATCACTGGTCACATTGGGGAGGGGTCCAGAAAAAACTACGGAGTCCAACATTGTCTTAGCATAATTACACACCGACTCCACATTAATCTTAGTGACCTCCGATTGGCGTAAACGGGTGTCGTTACCGCCGACGTGGATAACAATCTTACTGTATTTACGTTTACCTTTAGCCAGCAGTTTAAATTTGATTCAATGTCTCCCGCTCTGGCCCCAGGGATACATTTAACTATGGCCGCTGGCTTCGCTAACTTCACGTTTCTGACTATGGAGCTGCCAATAACCAGAGTTGGTTCCTCAGCGGGTGTATCGCTGAGTGGGGAAAATGTATTAGAAACGTGAATGGGTTGGTGGTGAACTGTGGGCTTCGGCGTTTTAGTCTTCCTCCGTTCAGTCGCCCAGCCTCCCTGTCTTCCCGGCTGCTCGGGAACTACCGGGGGAACTACCAGGGGAACTACCGGAGGAACTACCGGAGGAACTACCGGGGGAACTACCGGGGGATCTACCGGAGGAACTACCGGAGGACGGCTAACAGAAGCTACCTTCGGTCGGACCGCACCGGCTACCGGGGGCTGGCTAACTATAGCGGCTAAAGATATCTCAGTGGTGCGGTACCGTTCCTCTAACTCACTAAGCCTCGCCTCCAGCGCAGTAAATAAACTACACTTAATACAGGTACCATTATCATTAAAGGAGGCAGAGGAATAACTGAACATCTGACACACTGAGCAGGACAGAGCAGAGGGAGAGGGAGAAGCCATTGCTAACTGCTAATGCTAATGAAACTAGAGTGTATGAAAAAATTTGAAAGTAGTGAAAAGTCGCTAAAAGAAGGAGAAACTCTGAGTGCTTAGGTAGAACTAGTCTACATTTAAATGTTAAGCGGGAAATAACCGCTGTAACGAGTAAAACTAATTTAGATTTAGCGTTCACTGACAGAGCTACAGCACCAAACAGTGTACACAGAGCAGGAAGGAAACCGGGAATGAGTCTGTATGCTTACCATAGCATGTGATCTCTTTTTCTAGTTCCTGTCAGTACTCGTGCTGCAGCGTTCTGAATTAATTGGAGCGTTTTAATGGACTTATTGGGGCAACCTGATAATAAAGAGTTGCAGTAATCCAGCCTTGAAGTAACAAATGCATGGATTAGTTTTTCTGCATCTGTCTGTGATAGGATGTGTCTAATTTTTGTAATATTACGTAAATGAAAGAAGGCGGTCCTAGAGGTCTGCTTTATGTGGGAGTTAAATGACAAATCCTGATCAAAGATAACTCCAAGATTCCTGACAGTGGTGCTAGAGGCCAAGTTAATGCCATCTAGAGTAACTATATGATAATATAATTAAAAATAAATAAATAAATGTGGTTCAACATTCATGTTCCTCTCAGGATGATTTGTAATAACTTTATTGATCCTCTGACTTTTCATCTAACGCCACCATCAGGTCAACATTTGAATGTGTCCAATACTTTGGTCCATGAGCAAATGCCTGCAGAACTAATGACATTCTCATCCGCCTCAGCTGCACTTTGTGTTTACTGCTAATGATCTAATGAGTAAAAACTAAGATTATTTCTTTATCTGCTTGTATTGGACGCAGCAGTACCCTCAGAAGATCTGCCATGTGTGTTGTTTTGTGCGTTTGCAGGCTGTCAGGCTGTCTGATCACAGAGGAAGGCTGTGCTTCTCTGGTCTCAGCTCTGAGCTCCAACCTCTCCCATCTGAGAGAGCTGGACCTGAGTAACAACAACCTGCAGGATTCAGGACTGAAGCTTCTGTCTGCTGGACTGGAGAGTCCACTTTGTACACTAGAAACTCTCAGGTCTGATCAAGTTATTTTTTTATGACTTGAGATATTTCCCTAAAATATTATCTCCATGTGGTTGTAATGTCAGAATTCACAGTACTTTCAGATGATCTGCCAAAGGTGTTGTTCTGTGTTTTTGCAGGCTGTCAGGCTGTCTGATCACAGAGGAAGGCTGTGCTTCTCTGGCCTCATCTCTGAGCTCCAACCTCTCCCATCTGAGAGAGCTGGACCTGAGCTACAATCATCCAGGAGACTCAGGAGTGAAGCTGCTGTCTGCTGCACTGGAGGATCCACAGTGGAGACTGGACACTCTCAGGTATGAAGAGGTCTGCTGCAGCCACAGACAGTCAGTCTGATAGAGGAGGTCTGTTTGGTTCATGGTGGATATGAGTGTTATTTGGACAATCACACATGTAGGATGCCTTTTTCTGTTTCTCCGAACATAAACACTGGTTGAACGTAAAAAGGAGATATTTGTGTAGAACCATTGTAGTGAACATAGTCTTCACAGCAAACACGGGTTGTAAATATATGACATTTGCAGACACTAAATTGCCAATCTAGGTCTTGGGACCTTGAGACTGTAATCAATAGAGTAATATCAGAAACAGGCTGTAATCAGAAACAGGCTGTAATCAATAGAGTAATATCAGAAACAGACTGTAATCAATAGAGTAATATCAGACTGTAATCAATAGAGTAATATCAGAAACAGACTGTAATCAATAGAGTAATATCAGAAACAGACTGTAATCAATAGAGTAATATCAGTGTTGTATCAGAAGGAGGTTTTCTGCCACTGACACTGACTGAGGGTTTGGAGGGAAACAGTCTTGGAGTCTCTGTCAGGTGGTTTTAGGGCAGAGGTCTGGAACCAAGGACTGCTTTTGAAATGGAGAGCGGATCATCCAAAAAGAGGTTTGTGTGTGTTATCAGATGTTGTCCTCCTCTTTCACACACACACCAACATCCTGTGGCTCACTCTCAGTGTATGAGGAGAGTTTAGGGGGAGCAGCGATGCACACATTGTGTATCTGTGTATGACACTGATGTAATGTCCATGTTTGCATGCTGAAAGAGGATGTGCTGCTCTGACCCCCCTCCTCCTTTCAGGGTGGAGCCTGCTGGAGTCCGATGGTTGAGACCAGGTCTGAGGAAGTGTAAGTGTGAAAACAAAGCAGCACACATTCAACCATCTTCACACTGTGACATCACTCATTCACAGCTCTGTTGTGAGTTAGGACCAGGAAGCAGAGCTGCTCTTACACACTTCTCTGCGCTTTCTTTAGAACAGTCACCCACCCAAAACCCCATAGAGACTGTGTCTGTCCCCCGACCACCTAAATTATTTAAAGAAATAAAAACAAGAGGAGTTCAACATAAAAATCTAATAAAAATTAAAACCAACTCCTCAGTAGCACAAAATAAGAGAATGAAATGTGGGCTGTTAAATATCAGGTCTCTGTCCTCTAAAGCTGTTTTAGTGAATGAATTAATATCAGACTATGATATTGATTTACTTTGTCTTACTGAGACCTGGTTGTCCCACGAGGAGTATGTTAGCCTAAATGAATCCCCCCCCCAGTCATATTAATACTCACATTCCTCGAGGCACTGGCCGAGGAGGTGGAGTGGCAGCCATATATGATTGGAGCGTTTTAATGGACCCTAAACCTAAACTAAATTATAATTCAGTCAGGACCACTTTCGTCAAAATATCTTATATCCCAAGCAGAATTTTACATTTGGCGGTATGGCTCTGTTCTGGGACCTCCTTGTCCTTCTGCGTGCCTACGTGGAAAACCTTAAGGCAGGGAGAGCACACCTCCCTGCCCTCCCATGTGCATACATGGAAAAGTTTAAGAGAAGGAGAGCGGCAGCAGAGACCCCCAAAGAACCACACCAGGCAACCTCCCTTCCATGAGCTACATGGAAGTGCCAGTAAGAGGAGCCAGCAGGACTATAAACCAATACGTCTAAGCAGACACTAGTTGAAGTACATGGCTAAGTATACTAGAGATATCCCCAGAAATTTGCTATACATGATGAATTTAAGCCGAAAATTACAGGGCAATCATTGCTTCTGAGCATCAAGAATTGCTTGGCCTCAGGCAGGAGATATCGTTCGTAAGCAGATAATGAACATTTACCCATAGCCTTAGCATCGAGACAGGAGCTACGGATGCTGCATTTGTTGCTGCTCCTATGCAAATTGAATGAGGAGTTATTTTAATGTAGATTAGCTAAGCCAGATCGCATATACTGAGCAGTAGATAGCCTGATTGCATGGTTGTGTTTAGTCTAACACGGTTTGAGAAAATGGGGGGCAAGTCAGGCTGGATGGCGCTGCCTCCGGGCACAGCTGGCGAAATTCTGCAATTCAAACGGTACAAAATCAGCAATTGTTATCCAAGCCTGGAATAGGAGATGCTCTAATAATGAATTTACCCAACATAGATAACCAAGTGAGGTGCCTTACAAATCTATTAATGAATGGAACTGAAGAACGCCCTTGTAAATGATGTTGGCAGTTGCCTCATTGTCGCAAAAACATGATTGTTTCCTTGACCAGTCTTTTCCCCACAGAAACATGAAACAACAATTGGTACATTCATTAAAAAGGTAGAAGAGGCATTAGCTGGCGAGATGACAGTATTTTAGCCATATGTCTGCAAACCACTGATTATTAAAATACCCCCCCAAAACCTACGGAAGGGCGGTTATCATACAGGTCAATCATGCCACTACTACTGTATGTTTGAATTAATTATATCTCCATTATTTCTATACACAACACCGAAAAACTTGTGGATCCATTGCCCTTCCCTAAATTGCCCCTCATGTCTGCTCCCTGTCTTCTAAGCTCAGCAAAGCTGTTCATTAGTGATCTAGTAGATCATAGCAGTCACACTATTAGACCTTGCTGTTGACATAAAGCTCCCAGGGTGAACTGGCACACAGTGTTCAATTCATTTATATGTACTCAATATGCTGCATCTTTTTAGAATTAATGGCAAATGATGATTCTAGCTGCTCATTGTAAAAGAAGGAGATGCCATACCATTATCACACAGAAGAGATCAGGACTGGGGCTCGGATCTGCAGCCCTCATCCAAGCTCACCATATCATGGAGTTCTCTATAAATCGGAGAGGTCCAGAAGCCTGGATATCAGGGAACTTCCCTTATATCACACATGCCAATTTAAGATGTCTAAGCAAGGAGAGCAGTTCTCTTTTGGAAATTACTACTGCCTGCTGCTTTCATTACCTCTCTGATGCGATTTGCATCAGTACACTATCTAGAGTGAAGCCTAGAACTCTAGCCTTACAGGGCCTGATGTTTCTCCTTGGTAGCGGAAGACCTAATGTTTTAAAGGTATATTTAAGAGCAAAAATGCATGGTCTGATTTTGAATTGATAGTCAACTAACAGAAAATCGTCTACGAGATGGAGCACGAAAGCAGTTGCAGTTATTAAAAGAATCCAGCAGAGAGCCTCTGACAAGTGTCAAATATGTGGGGCTGCTGTAACAACCAAAGGTGAGCCTAACTGAGAAGTACATTTCTCTTCATTTAACCAACAGATGCCAATGTGAAGGTGTAATACATGACTTAAATGCATCTGTGACATCTGCCTTGGCTAGCCATGTGCCTCTACATGCTTCTTTAATCAACTGATGGCTTTGTAGATTATAGCATAAAATAAGGAAAAGTGCCAGAGGATTTAAACTATTCATGCCTTAGTTTCGCCTTTGCAAGAGCAGATATATAAAAACATAATTATTAATTATTTTATTTTCCCTGAATATTTCCTGGTAGCTATACCTTAATGCTTGTTGAGAAGGCGACTTATGAATGGACCAATATGAACCTTTGTTATCCTTTCTTCAGTAAAGCATCGACTATGTCAGCTCTTTCAAAGCAGATTGTAGGTTTGCAACCAAGTCAGCTCAGCTAAGAACCATGAACCAGCCCTATAACAGATAATTCACTAACAGTGTTTAGATGCTTTCTTAGCGCCTTCCCCAGCTCAGGGACGTTTACTGGGGTTGAAGGTTTATCTCTCATGCCCCCTTTTTGAGAGGCAGCACGTTCTTCCCTATGGTGATTGGGACTGCACTTCCCAGCATTCTCGGCGGGAATGTGACGCCGTCAAAACAAGCTGCTGTGACGTCATCGTCAAGCGCAGCACCTGTGGGACCATGCGCTCTACCTGCAGACAGCAAAGAGGGAAACAGGCCAACTGCGGATGAAGACTGGCCGGCCTGACGTGCCGAACCGAACCCTGGACCCTTGAACCCATTGGACAGAACTGACAAGCAAGACAGGTGGAGCCGGCCGCTGCGCCTGGGACCCGCGCTCCCCTGGAAGGCAGCGCAGCGCCGGAGCCGGGCCGGGCCGGGGCCGCAGCGGAGCCGCAGGAGCAACTCCCCCCTTCTGCAGACCCCCCAGAACCAGAGCAGCCGGACACAACTGCGGATGTTGTTCAAAGCGACACTCTCCCCAACGCCGAGATCGCTGCTGAGACTTCACAATGCAATCGACCCACCATCATACTCACCGCAGACAGGACAAGTAGAAACAAACCACAAACCACAAACCACAAGCAACGCACACAACATCCTGGCAAACAGGCTTGTAGAGGAAGCAGCAGAGATAGGCAGGCAGGCTAAAGCAGCTTAAATAAGGCGCCATGCATGATGTTTGCCAATTGGATGCTTGAGGAAATCAGGTGAGCTGTCAGCTGACTGTGTATGGTATCCAATGGGAAGCTTAGAGGAATCAGCTGATGTATGTTTATGACTAGCTGTGATCGTATGATATAGCTGTAACTGAAAGCTAAGCCTGACTTCGTGCCCTGCCTGAACTAACGCTATGCTCAATTTCATTTGAAAGCCTTGTTCTTAGTCTTTCTCACCCAAACTGGAAAACACTGCAGCCAGTTCTATTTGTTATAGTGTACCGTACTCTGATTTTATATCTGAATTCTCAGAGTTTTTATCAAGTTTAGGCCTTAAATCAGATAAAATGACTATTGTAGGTGATTTTAATATTCATGTGAATGTTAACAATGACAGTCTTAGTAACGCATTTATATCATTAATAGACTCAATTGGCTTCTGTCAGAGTGTAAATAAACCAACTCTTTGTTTTAATCACACTCTTGACCTTGTTCTATCATATGGCATTGATATTGAACATTTAATAGTCTTCCCACATAATCCTTTCCTATCTGACCATTATTTAATAACTTTTGAATTAATACTATTAGATTATAAGCCATTAGGTAAAACTTCCTACAGCAGATGTCTATCTGACAGTGCTGTAGCTAAATTTAAGGAGAAGATTCCATCAGTGTTTAATTCAATGCCATGTCTGAATTTAACAGAATCCTATAACAACTTTAGTTCCTCTGTAATAGATAATCTTGTTGATAGTGCTACAGGCTCACTACGATCAACATTAGACTCTATCGCTCCTATAAAAAGGAAATTATTAAAACATAGGAGACTAGCACCTTGGTATAACCACCAAACCCGCCAATTAAAGCAAAAAGCTAGGAAATCTGAAAGGAAATGGCGCTCTTCCAAATTATCAGAATATCGCTCAATTTGGCATGATAACCTTAAAATTTATAGAAAGGCCCTCCGTAACCCCAGCAGAGCCTATTATTCAGCACTAATAGAAGAAAATAAGAACAACCCTAGGTTCCTCTTCTTTAGAGTCACAGCTCTATTGAGCCACATATCCCCATAAACTTAAGTAGTAATGACTTCATGAGCTTCTTTTATGATAAAATTATTACTATTAGAGAGAAAATTAACCACCAACTGCCATCAATTCAATTCAATTTCAATTCAATTCAATTTTATTTGTATAGCGCCAATTCATAACAGAAGTTATCTCAGGACACTTTTCAAATAGAGCAGGTCTAGACCGAACTCTTTAAAACATTAATTACAGAGACCCAACAGTACCACCATGAGCAAGACCTTGGAGACAAGGGCAAGGAAAAACTGCCTGTTAAAAGGCAGAAACCTAGGAGAGATCCCGGCTTTTTTGGTTGTTTTTTTTTTTTTTTTGTGGGGGGAGAGAGAGAGAGAGAGAGAGAGAGAGAGAGAGAGAGAGAGAGAGAGAGAGAGAGAGCGACAGACAGACAGACAGGTGCACAGCAACAAGTACTGGCAATGGCAATCTAGCAGGACCATGGCAGGAGGCTCCTACAGGATTGAGAAGAACCTGCGAGACGAGAAAGCACAAGAACTCCGGGGAAGAAGTGAAGTTAGTAACATGCATTAATGGAACATGAATGAGTGCAGAAAGAGAGAGGAATGGAGGAGCTCAGTGCACCATGGGAAATCCCCCGATAGTCTAGGCCTATAGCAGCATAACTAAGGGATGGTTCAGGACTCACCTGATCCAGCCCTAACTATAAGCTTTATCAAAGAGGAATGTCTTAAGCCTACTCTTGAATGTGGTGAGGGTGTCTGCCTCCCGAACCACAACTGGAAGCTGGTTCCACAGGAGAGGAGCTTGGTAACTGAAGGCTCTGGCTCCTGTTCTACTTTTAGAGACTATAGGAACCACAAGTAGCCCAGCATTCAGAGAACGTAGTGTTCTAGAGGGGTAATAGGGTACTATGAGCTCTTTAAGATATGAAGGGGCCTGACCATGAAGAGCTTTATAGGTGAGGAGGAGGATTTTAAATTCTATTCTACATTTTACAGGGAGCCAATGCAGAGAAGCTAGTACAGGAGAGATGTGATCTCTTTTTCTAGTTCCTGTCAGTACTCATGCTGCAGCGTTCTGAATTAATTGGAGCGTTTTAATGGACTTATTGGGGCAACCTGATAATAAAGAGTTGCAGTAATCCAGCCTTGACGTAACAAATGCATGGATTAGTTTTTCTGCATCCGTCTGTGATAGTGTGTGTCTAATTTTTCTAATATTACGTAAATGAAAGAAGGCAGTCCTAGAGGTCTGCTTTATGTGGGAGTTAAATGACAAATCCTGATCAAAGATAACTCCAAGATTCCTGACAGTGGTGCTATAGGCAAAGTTAATGCCATCTAGAGTAACTATATCTTTAGACAGTGAGTGTCTAAGGTTTTTGGAGCCAAGAACAAGAATTTCGTTTTTTTCTGAGTTTAACATCAGAAAATTGCAGGTCATCCAGGATTTTATGTCCTTAAGACATGTTTGTAATTTAGATAATTGATTAATTTCATCGGGCTTGATTGATAGATATAACTGCGTATCATCTGCATAACAGTGAAAGTTAATGGAGTGATTCCTAATAATGTTGCCTAAAGGGAGCATATATAAAGTAAATAGTATTGGTCCAAGTACAGAACCTTGTGGAACTCCATGACTAATTGTAGTATTTATTGAAGATTCATTGTTAACATGTACAAACTGCGAGTGATCTGATAAATATGACTTAAACCAGCTTAGTGCGGTTCCTTTAATGCCAATTTGATGCTCAAGTCTCTGTAAAAGAATATTATGGTCAATGGTGTCAAATGCAGCACTAAGATCCAATAATACAAGTACAGAGACAAGTCCATTGTCAGAAGCAATCAGAAGGTCATTATTAACTTTAACCAGAGCTGTCTCTGTGCTGTGATGAACTCTAAATCCTGATTGAAAATCCTCAAATAAACTATTGTTATGTAGAAAGTCACACAACTCTTTGGTGACTACTTTCTCCAGAATCTTAGAGAGGAAGGGGAGGTTAGAAATCAGTCTATAGTTGGCTAAAACCCCTGGGTCAAGAGTGGGCTTTTTAAGAAGGGGTTTAATTACAGCTACTTTAAAGGACTGTGGTACATATCCTGATAATAAAGAAAGATTAATCATATCCAGTAAAGAAGTGCCAATTAAGGGAACAACTTCTTTAAGCAGCCTAGTTGGGATCGGGTCTAATAGACAGGTTGATGGCTTCAATGAAGAAATGATTGAAGTTAACTGATGAAGATCGATAGCAGAAAAACAGTCTAAATATATATCTAAGTTTACATTAACAGAAGTCCCTGAACTTGGAGAGCTACTGATAACTGTTGATGGCAGTTGGTGATTAATTTTCTCTCTAATAGTAATAATTTTATTATAGAAGAAGCTCATGAAGTCATTGCTACTTAAGTTTATGGGGATATGTGGCTCAATAGAGCTGTGACTCTCTGTCAGCCTGGCTACAGTGCTGAAGAGGAACCTAGGGTTGTTCTTATTTTCTTCTATTAGTGCTGAGTAATAGGCTCCTCTGGCATTACGGAGGGCCTTTCTATAAGTTTTAAGATTATCTTGCCAATTTGAGCGATATTCTGATAATTTGGAAGAGCGCCATTTCCTTTCAGATTTCCTAGCTTTTTGTTTTAACTGGCGGGTTTGGTGGTTATACCAGGGTGCTAGTCTCCTATGTTTTAATAATTTCCTTTTTATAGGAGCGATAGAGTCTAATGTTGATCGTAGTGAGCCTGTAGCACTATCGACAAGATTATCAATTTCAGAGGGACTAAAGTTATTATAGGACTCTGTTAAATTCAGACATGGCATTGAATTAAACACTGAAGGAATCTCCTCCTTAAATTTAGCTACAGCACTGTCAGATAGACATCTGCTGTAGGGAGTTTTGCCTAATGGCTTATAATCTAATAGTATGAATTAGATAAGTCAGATAGGAAAGGATTATGTGGGAAGACTATTAAATGTTCAATATCAATGCCATATGATAGAACAAGGTCAAGAGTGTGATTAAAACAATGAGTTGGTTTATTTACACTCTGACAGAAGCCAATTGAGTCTATTAATGATATAAATACGTTACTAAGGCTGTCATTGTCAACATCCACATGAATATTAAAATCACCTACAATAATTACTTTATCTGATTTAAGGACTAAGCTTGATAAAAACTCTGAGAATTCAGATATAAAATCAGAGTACGGTCCAGGAGCGCGGTACACTAAAACAAATAGAACTGGCTGCAGTTTTTCCTTGCCCCTGTGGCCAAGTGCTTGCTCATGGTGGTACTGTTGTGTCTGAGATAACTTCTGTTATGAATTGGCGTTATACAAATAAAATTGAAATTGAAATTGAAAATCAAAGTGTCAATCAATGATCAGATGATAGATCAATAACTGCAGCTGTATTGTGTCTTTTTCTCTCTATCAGATTCCTGTGAACTCACAGTCGACACAAACACAGTGAACAGAAACATCAAACTGTCTGACAAGAACAGGAAGATGATTCATGTGAAGGAGGATCAACCATATCCTGATCATCCAGACAGATTTGACTACTGGCCTCAGCTGCTGTGTAGAAATGTTCTGACTGGTCGCTGTTACTGGGAGGTTGAGTGGAGAGGAAGAGTTTCTATATCAGTGAGTTACAGAGGAATCAGCAGGAGAGGAAACAGTAGAGACTGTTTGTTTGGATGGAATGATCAGTCCTGGAGACTGGAGTGCTCTGATGGTCGTTACTCTGTCTGTCACAAGAAGAGAGTAACACCCACCTCCTCCTCCTCCTCCTCCTCCTCTTCCTCCTCCTCTGTCTCTAACAGAGTAGCAGTGTATATGGACTGTCCTGCTGGCACTCTGTCCTTCTACACAGTCTCCTCTGACACACTGATCCACCTCCACACCTTCAACACCACATTCACTGAACCTCTTTATCCTGGATTTGGACTCTGGTCCAGTCCTGGTTCCTGGGTGTGTGTGAGTCCTGTGTAGGAGGGAGAGTCTCAGATCAGTTCAGTCTGTACAGGATCACAGTTCCATCCATCTTTCAGGTGATTGTTGTGTCTTTCCTCCCTTAAAGCTTTGATTCTCTCACACTGTGTAGTGTTAAGTTGGTTTTTCCTTTAGTTTGATATGTATGCAGGGCCGGCCCAAGCCTGCATGGGGCCCGGCATGTTTTACCCATATATGGTTTTTAATCTGAAATGGTAGCAAATCCAGCTACAAGAGCAGCCTGGGGTTGATTAACACTTAATATTCAAAGTGATTTAGTACTAAGTGGGATACCGTATTTCATCTAGGCCAGTATTAAATAAAATAAATTTAAAAAATATCAGACAAATACTTAAATAATGATGTAAATCAACAGGCACCTAAAACAAGGTAACACAAATGGTTTATAAATAAAATATTAAGTTGAATTAGGTATGAAAACTATGTAAAAATTTGCTAAATCTTTGGTAAAAATAGGGAGGGGGGGAATTCAAAATACACTCCTGTAATTCAAACATTTGACTTTTATATGTAAAAAACACAGCATTGAATAAAATAAACAAATAAATAGACTGCGGGCTCTGTCTTGCACTCAGCGCAATTGACTTTGTACACTGGCGCTTGTATAATTCCTATTTTGCACTCGACGCACATTGGAATTTTCCCTCCACCGATGCACATCCTTAAATTAGAGAATGAACTTGCGCTCGGGGGGCGGTTCAGCGAAAAGAGGAGGCGTGTTCCGGCGCAAACGTTCCCTGGTGCTATTTTGCTGTTTCAGAAAACAATTCTGCCACAGACCAGGAAAAACCTAGTCTAAAGTCAGTGGCACTTATTCAGATGCTATTTTAAGGGCGCAGACTTGAGGGGATGCGCCTGAGAGGCAGCAGCAACATCGCCACCCGGTCAGGACGGGCATTAATACTTTGCCGCATCCCGGACAGCTCCCGCTCCAGCATGTCAAACCCGGTTTGCTGCAGGAACGGGTGGTCCTCCAGCGTGTAGTGGGTCTGGATCCTCTGCACCTTGGTGTTTGCGCTGCTCCCTCCTCAGCCGGCCCTTGCGCACTGCTCGGTCGTGCGCACTGCTCTCGAGGCCAGGGTCTTCTTCCTGCAAAGCTGCCTTACATTTTTTTGATTTATTGTATGGCTGTGTTACATTTATTTCACTAGTGCACTGCCCGTAGGAAGTATGTATTGCTATAGAAAAGTGTGAGGTTAAGTAGTTTTTTCATGGATGGCCAAATGAGGTTGTGTTTGAAGGTGGGACGTCAGGGACATTTAGGACATATTATTTAGTCCTATAATATAGGCCAGCATACATCAGAGAGAGAGAGAGAGAGAGAGAGAGAGAGAGAGATCGGGGATCCAGCGCCAATTCTCCGCACCCTCCTCTGTGTGGAAGACTCAGATGCGGCGAGGGGGGGCATTGTCGCTCCGTCCCTGATCCTCCTCTGGAGGTAGAATTAGGGACGCTTTATTTTTAACCGCCTGCAGTGTGAACGGATAAGCCGACGGCGCGGGGCGTGTCGGTCAGACAGTCTGATAACTGCACAGGTCTCTCACTCAACTTAATAAAGAGAAATGTCCCACAAAGCAACGTTACAGGACCAAACAACAGTAACGTAGTAACTGTAACTGTCTTTGGAAACTTACATGAGGTAAAAAAATACCACAGCTGTACGTGGAGAAGCGTCTGTCCTCCTGTCTGTCCTCCTGTCTGTCCTCCCCCTGTCCTCCCGCCTGTCCTACCGACTCTTCGTCACATTTCTGCCCGAAAAAACAGCATCTGTCACCGGCGAAAAACTGAGTGTTTGTGATCAAAAATCAAAAATCACCACGACCCCAGCCCTCTGGACCGAGACATCAGTTTACTTTCACTTTCCAGGATGTTTGGGCTCTGCAGTGATTGACTCTGGTGCGCACGTGGCTACGGTGGCCCTCGTTTGCAATGCTAGCAGAATTCGGAAATAATTTATTAACGGTATCTTTATAGTCCAAACAAAGCCGACGTTGCACACCCTTAAATCACACAGCAGCCATGAAACTCTCAGGTCAGTCTGATCCTGATCTGCAGAGATAGTTGAGGTACACACACAGATAGACAGACACACAGACACACAGACAGAGATTTCTTGCTTTTATAGAGAGATATTGTTGTTGGGGTTTTTTGTACAAGAATGTACATTTGATAATATATGAATCATCATCACTCACACATGGAAAAAAATAATGCATTACTTTTTTCTTTTTTAAGTTAATTGCTCTTGGGGGCCCCCTAGTGGTAAAGGGGCCCTAAGCAGCTGTTTAGTTCGTTTATGCCCTGGGCCAGCCCTGTATGTATGCTCTGTTTGTTTGTTTGTTCATATGTGTATAACTGTACATGTAAAACAAATGTAAAGCAATGTAGTCATATTTTGTTTATGTGCAGATACCTGATAAAAAAGTAATTCTGATTCTGTTTTTGTTGTCTTGTGTCATGAGGTCAAATAAAGTTACTAAGAAGAATGAAGAGAAATGATAAAAGCTAAAAACATATTAAATTTTATTTATTTGAGCTGTGCTGATGGGGGGTTCCCGCTGTCAGACAGCAGGTGGCGGTATTCATTGAATCGTATTTAAAACTGCTGTGTAAAGATAAACGTAAATATAGTAAGATAGTTATTCACGTCGGCGGTAATGACACCCGATTACGCCAATCGGAGGTCACTCACATTATTGTGGAGTCGGTGTGTAATTATGCAAAAACGAATCTGAATTAATGAATGAATCCACCCCGCTAGTCATATTAATTCTCACTGTAGCTCCTCCAGTGACAGGCATGAGGCAAGAGGTCTTGATTAAAATACAGGGCTTTATTGCTGGTCAACCCGTGAGAACTGGGTTAAAGAAAGAAAATATAAATTAACAAAAATAATGCTGTGTGCATGTCTCATACATCTTGTGTTATAACCAAGCATATATACAGCTAGACACTTTACAGTTTGATTGAATAAACCCAAAATGGCACATGTAAACAAAATAATCAATTACACCTTCATAGCAGATAAACAGCCAACAAACCTTATTGCTGCTTATCACGAACAGTTGCTAAATTCAATTCAGTTCAATTCAATTCAATTTTATTTGTATAGTGCCAATTCATAACAGAGGTTATCTCAGGACACTTTTCAAATAGAGCAGGTCTAGACCGAACTCTTTAAAACATTATTTACAGAGACCCAACAGTTCCACTATGAACAAGCACTTTGCGACAAGGGCAAGGAAAAACTGCCTGTTAAAAGGCAGAAACCTAGGACAGATCCTTCGGCTTTAGGTGGGTGGTCGTCTGTCTCGACCAGTTGGGGTGAGAGAGAGAGACAGAGAGAGAGAGAGAGAGAGAGAGAGAGAGAGAGACAGACAGACAGACAGACAGGTGCACAGTAACAACAGTAGTGGCAATGGCACTCTAGCAGGACCATGGCAGGAGGCTCCACCAGGATCGTTAAGAACCTGCGAGACGAGAAAGCACAAGAACTCCGGGGAAGAAGTGGAGTTAGTAACATGCATTAATGGGACCTGAATGAGTGCAGAAAGAGAGAGGAAGAGAGGAGCTCAGTGCACCATGGGAAATCCCCCGATAGTCTAGGCCTATAGCAGCATAACTAAGGGATGGTTCAGGACTCACCTGATCCAGCCCTAACTATAAGCTTTATCAAAGAGGAATGTCTTAAGCCTAAACATCCTTTGAAATCTCCCGTCTCTTCTTCTGTCTATTTTTTCTTCGATAACTTATGTAATTATGACAACAACAGTGGAAACAGCATTCTCTTTTGCGGGGAAGTTTTCTCTGTGCGTCCCTAAAAGGCACTCGGGTGAAACACTCGGGCAGAACAAATAATTAATTCCTCTAGCTCTAGCTGTAAACATAATTCAGAAGAAACAAAATAATAAAGTGCTAATACAGAAAATAAACTGGCGACAGGGGCTATTACACTCCCACCATATAAGAAAAGTGATTTCTTAAAACTTGGAGACAAACATACTGCATAAATAAATTGAATGAAACGCTAACATAACCATGAAACAACTAATAAACTGTGTGTGAGTGTATGATAGAACCTTCAGTCGGCTTCTAGCAATGTTACTGTTTTCTGAATGGGTCTCTCCAGGTAAACAGGTTTAGATGTGTGCTTCCCTCTTCCATCCAGGGAGGAGTCACTGATGAGTATCTTGAGTCTCCTCACTCTTTCATCGCTTCCAGGATACAACTCGTTGACTCTTGCTAGCCTCCATTGGTTTCGTGGTGTAGCATCATCTTGCAACAGAACAATCTCACCGACCTTTGCATTTCTTCGATCTTTTGTCCTCTTCTGTCTGTGTTGGAGATTCAAGAGGTACTCCTTTTTCCATCGTACCCAAAAGTTGTTGGCTAAGAATTGAACTCTGCGCCATCTTTTGCAGAGGTAGAGATCCTCCTTGACAAACTTACCAGGAGGAGGGAGAATGATTGTGGATTTCATGGTCAAGATTTGGTTTGGTGTCAAGGGCTCTGGACTAGTAGAATCGTTCAGATGATCAGTGGTTAGAGGTCTGCTATTCACAACCGCCATAGCCTCATATAAAAATGTTTGTAAGGAAGAGGAGTCAAGTTGTCTGGGCGACTGTTCTAGAATCGACGCCAGGACACTTCTGATGCAGATTTGACAGACCCCACCATATGGCTTGAGGCCGGGTTGTTCATGATGAACTCGCAGCCCAAATCTTTCAGCTGTACTTGATCCATCTCTTTCAGTGCTTCAATGAACTCACGCCTTGCTCCAACAAAGTTCGTCCCTTGATCACACCTTATCTGCCTTACTGATCCACGAATGGCGATGAATGAACGCAGAGCATTAATAAAGGCATTTGAGGTCAAGTCATCAAGTGCTTCACTGTGAAGTCCTCTGGAACACATGCAGGTGATCAACAGCCCATAACGCTTTAGCTCCTTTCTTCCTTCCTTAATGTGAAACGGTCCGAAGCAGTCCATTCCACAGTAAGTCCAGGTTAAGAACAGGCAAACCATAAGATAAAACAAGATCAAGTGTGTGACCACGTTCATGTGTAGGCCTGAGTACAGACTGCACGAGATTAAAAGAGTCAATGATGTTTAAAAAGTCTTGCGCCAAAGGTTTTTCAGGGCAACACACATGAATATTACAATCTCCAACAACAAGGACCCTGTCATATTTGGGCATAATATCAGCCAAGAACACAGAAAAGTCTGTTAAAAAGTCTCTGTTATATTTGTGAGGCCGGTAGACCACAGCACACAGCACCATGTGAGAAAGCCCCAGCTCAAACAAACTGAGTTCAAAGCTGGTGAAGGAGGATCACAGCGATAACTGTTTACATTTAAAGTCACTCTAAAATTCCTCCTCCTTGGCCAGACATCCGAGGAGAGTTAAAAAAGCAGCACTCATCAGGTAAAGGTTCAGTGAAGACACTGGACTCACCAACACTCCCCGGGATGTAAAGAAATCCTTATGGATAAATTATTTATTCGCAAGCGATCTGGCGGTTACCAGGCCAAACCTGGCAAGCGCTGGTGGGTCAGGGCAAACAGCTGACAGGGAGGCCCGACACAGAGGCCACAGGTTCCCCAGATTTACTCCGCGCCAGCGGGGATGAGAGAGCAGGGCCCGGGGGGGCTGGAACATCACATCCGAGCCCGCCACCAGTACCAACCAGGCAGCGACAAGGTCCAGTGAACGTCGAGAGGTACAAAGGTGAGGCCCCTCTCCGTATCCACCTCGATCAGGACGTACAAACCCGGCCCTCAGCCTCACCCGGCAGCCACTATGCTTACCCCGGCGGCGGTGCCGTTTTCGCCGCGGGGGTGGCGCTGGAGCGCGGCAGAGGTATGTCCGATAGGAAAGGAGACAGGATTTTTTGTCCATAATAGTCAAAGTTGACAAGATTTTTGGCGGAGAGTGTTGACGGTCTGTGCAACAAGTGCTACAAGCAACAGAAACACACACAACTGTCGGAGCAGCTGACGCCCCGCTTCACACACTGGCGCCATCTTGTAATGTATCACCTTCCTTATATCAGATGGATCTAAAGAGTAGAGCAGTGAATAGGAATGAGAGAGAAAATGTCTTGTGTCTTTTCGATTCAGTATAAATAAATCTATATCACTGATATAGCCTGTGTGGAGATTTTTCACCTTTGATAGAATAAAACTACGGAGTTGAAGATACCCATAAAGGTGTTCAGATGCAATGTTGTATTTTTGTTGAAGCTGTTGAAAGGACATCAGTGTATTACCCTGGTATACATCCCAAATAAGCCTGATGCCTTTCTTATGCCAACTATCAAAGACACTATTATTAATTCCTGGGGCAAACTCATCATCCCTAGTCACAGGCATTAATGCAAAGGATGAAGCGTTTTCCCCAAAATGCTTTGAAATGTCTAGCCAGACTCTGATAGTGTTGTAAATAATAGGGTTACGCTTAATGTCTGGCGACCTCTTGTTTCCATAATTTGTGAGTTTGCTCAGTAGGGAGTGGGGGAGAGGAGAACCATTCATCAATACCTGCTTCAGATTTTAAATGAGACTAGAGCCAGTCCCAGACTATTCGGGTGTGGCAGCAGGCCCAGTTATAATATCCCAGATTGGGTAGGGCTAAGCCCCCTCGTTCCACTGGCAGTTGTAAAGTCTTAATTCTGATTCTGGGTCTTTTATTGTGCCAAATAAATCGCGAAAGGGCCCTTTCTAGATCTAAGATAACCGTTCTTGGTAACCATAATGGTAACATCTGCATAGAGTAAAGCAACCTGGGGAGTATGTTCATTTTTATGAGACTGATTCTGCCCATCCAGGAGAGGGGAAGGTCATGCCATCTCTCAAGGTCATTCTTAACTGTTCTGATTGTAGGCACAAAATTAAGTCTCCTCAGGTCCTCAATATTACGTGACACTTTAATACCAAGATAAACAAAGCCTGAAGTGGCCCATCTGAACGGGAAATTCGTATCTGAGCTTGTGCTACCGTAATTCCCCAGGGGCATGGCCTCAGATTTTGTGTATTTTACTTTATAGCCAGATATGGAACCAAATGAGTTGATAATTGACATAGTAGCAGGGACTGATACCTCAGGCTTGGAAAGAAAAAGTAAAATGTCATCAGCATATAATGCTATCTTGTGAGTGGTCTTGCCTAAAGTAACGACGAGTATTTCCTTACTATTCCTAATGCGTTCCGCCAGTGGCTCTAAAGTGAGGACAAAAAGGACAGGGGAGAGCGGGCAGCCCTGTCTTGTCCCTCTACCGAGTGTGAAGGGAGAAGTACGCATGCCATTGGTTGACACACAGGCCTCTGGTGAATGATAAATAAGTTTTATCCAATTTATAAACTCCTCTCCTAATCCAAACCTGCTCAGGACATCCCACATGAACCTCCACTCCACCCTATCGAATGCCTTTTCCGCGTCCAATGATATAGCTAGTGCCCGGTGCCGCATCTCCGAGGAGTACTGTACCACATTAAGAAGTCTTCTCACATTAGAGTACGAGAACCTCTCCCTGATAAAGCCTGTCTGATCGTCATTTATAAGTGAAGGTAAATAATTCTCCAATCTTCTGGCCAGCACTTTAGAAAGTATCTTGCTGTCCACATTTATAAGGCTGACAGGTCTATAAGAACTGCACTCATCTAGTGGTTTATTTTTCTTCAGGATTAAAGAGATACTGGCTAAATTTAGAGAGGGAGGGAGACAAGCCTTGTTCTTAGTCTTTCTCACCCAAACTGGAAAACACTGCAGCCAGTTCTATTTGTTATAGTGTACCGCGCTCCTGGACCGTACTCTGATTTTATATCTGAATTCTCAGAGTTTTTATCAAGTTTAGTCCTTAAATCAGATAAAGTAATTATTGTAGGTGATTTTAATATTCAATTGACTCAATTGGCTTCTGTCAGAGTGTAAATAAACCAACTCATTGTTTTAATCACACTCTTGACCTTGTTCTATCATATGGCATTGATATTGAACATTTAATAGTCTTCCCACATAATCCTTTCCTATCTGACCATTATTTAATAACTTTTGAATTTCTATTATTATATTATAAGCCATAAAGCAAAACTTCCTACAGCAGATGTCTATCTGACAGTGCTGTAGCTAAATTTAAGGAGGAGATTCCTTCAGTCTTTAATTCTATGCCATGTCTGAATTTAACAGAGTCCTATAACGACTTTAGTCCCTCCGAAATTGATAATCTTGTTGATAGTGCTGCTGGCTCACTACGATCAACATTAGACTCTATCGCTCCTATAAAAAGGAAATTATTAAAACATAGGAGACTAGCACCTTGGTATAACCACCAAACCCGCCAGTTAAAACAAATAGCTAGGAAATCTGAAAGGAAATGGCTTCTAAATTATCAGAA